ATTCACTAGGTGATCTGACGGATCTGTCCGCCTGGACCCCAAATCGGCGGCTTACCTGGAAGGAAAGAGGCGCCATTCTCGGGAGGAGTCTCCAGATGGTACCACTGGGACGTCAATGAAGAAGCTCCACTCTGCTGCGGGTGAGGTGGACCTTGCGCCAGGCGCGGTGATGTGGATTACGGGCTTCCACAGGGAGCTCTTGAGATTAGATGAGCACAATCAATACATCAGTCTTTCTCTCTTTACTCGTTCCACTCTTCACAAGATTCAGCAGGAGGGTGACACTCTGCCCAAGAAGAAACTTGAGGCAAAGGGTGTCCGAGTGCTGGACATCACTCAATTCCAAGACAAAGAGACCCTCACAGAGTCCCAGTGGCGAGAGGCAGCCAGCAACTATATGCTGTTCCTGGAGAAGGTTGGGGACCTCTCATACCAGAACAAGTTCCAGGAGCATTTTAGCTGGATCCTGAATGTCCCTGATTTTGTGGAGTATTTTGATGTTGCCCGTGCTCTCGATGTTGAATTCCATAAGCACTATCATATTCAGCCTTTCACCTTCTGCGATGGTGTCTACACCCAACGTCACTCTTGAGATTGAGATGAAGAAGATGGTATCGCTCAGGCAGAAGCTGGAGGTGTCTCTCGCTGCTGCAAGGCAGCCTCTTAGCAGACCTCAGGCCGGAGCAGGTACCAGCTGTGGAGGCTTCAACGGAGGCTTTGGGGGTTTCAGCAGTGGCCAGGGCAGCTTTTGCGGCCACAGAGGTATGTATCAGTCTGGGCCCAGCTCCAGCAGTTGGCAGGGGCCCTTTCAGATGGGCGGCAGAGGTGACCCTTGCTCCTCTGTCTGCCTCGTCTGCCCCCGGAAGGGGCACAGTGCCGCACTCTGCACCTCAAGCCACTATGCTGACAGCTCACCCTGCTTCATGGAAGCCCGCAACAACACCTTGTATGCCCGAGGGCGCGGCAACGAAATCTGTAGGAAGTGGAACTCGAGTGGGGACCCTCACGGTAACTGCGCCTCCCACCCAACCTCTCGCCGACATATCTGTGCCTTCTGCGGTGCCGGCAACCATTTTGCATTCTCCTGGAAGTGCAAGACCAACCCAAACTGATCTCGCCAGCTGCTCCGCTTGTTGCTTATCCTCTTGTATGTCTCGTCTTGGTGATGTCTGCCGTCTTTCCATCCGCAACCGTATCATTATGCCATACAATGCCGACACCTTTGCTGTACTTCTTGAGAAGAACAACATCACTTCTGAACACCCTGAGCTGGTCAAAAAGCTTCGTCTGGGATTCTCTATGGGCGACTTTCCAAAATCTCACCAACCACTTGCCCTGCACTGAATATATGGATTTCACTGAAGATTATCTTGACGATGAGCTCTCTGCTGGCAGGATGAGTGGCCCATTCACTCAAGATGAGGCGAAGCAGATTCTGGGCCACTTTCAGTCTTCACCGCTTACTGTCTCTATCCAACCGCAAGGCCCAGGTGAACTGGATAAGCTCCGGCTGTGTCGCAACCTCTCCCAGAGCTCCAAGTTACACCTCTCGACGAATGACTACATAGACACAGACAACTTCCCGACATGTTTCGGGTCAGCCGCTGAAGTCACCGAAATTGTGAGTTCCTTTCATTTTTCGTGGGCCTTGGGCCCGTCATACACCTCAGGGTCATGGTCAGTCCCATCCGACTGTTTGGTATGCGTTGTGGTCAGTCCCGCGCTCACCTGCTTGGGTTGTGGTCAGTACCCGCCTTTCTGCTGCTTGGGTCATGGTCAGTTCCCCACCCTTACCGTCTGCTTGGGCCCTGGTCAGATCCCCCCTCCTATATCTTATCATGCCATACCATCGCCTTTCCCTTACTCACACCATATCATACTGTCTGATTTCCTCTGCTCCGGATGGCACTCAGGCCATGACCTTAGACATTGCAAAATTTCATTGTACCTGCCCGGTCTGCCCCGCCCACAAACACATGTTCGTCGTCCAGAGCTCGCATGGTCTCTGGATTGACCATGACTGCCCCTTTGGTTGCCGCTCTTCCGAGAGCAATGCCGGCTCTATTGCAAATGGTGCCCTGGACATCTGGCGAGAGGAAGGAGTCGGCCCATCAGTGAAGTGGGTGGATGACCTCACCGTATTCCGGTACACTCTGGGATGTGGCTCTGCGGGCAACTTTCTATATCCGTATGATCATGTGGAGGCTCTTCGGTGCATTGCTCCCCTGGCTATCCCATGGCACCCAGACAAGGGCCAAGATTTTGACTCATCCTTCACCTATATCAGTTTCTTCTGGGACATCATCCAGAAGCGTGTCTCACTTCCTGAGAAAAAGTGCCTCAAGTTCTCTCATCTTATTGTGCTCAACAATGTCCTCTGTCTGTTCTGATGACGATCCAAGGGCCACTGCCATATTGTCTTCATATACCCTCTGGGCCAGAGTCAGCTGCCCAACCTCTTTTCTTTCATAGCTTCATTCCAAGATAATCAGTTCATCAAGCACTGGCCTCCTCACTCCCTCTTGTCTGACCTCGGATGGTGGGAAGAAGAACTGCAGAAGCCAGATGGTTTCCGTTCACTGCAGCCTTGTGGTCCTGGAACAGATCTTGGAATCTCCGTGGATGCCTCCACATCATGGGGCATAGGTGTCGTCTGTGGATAAGTATTCTGCCCACTGGTATTCTGTGCTTCACCTGGTACTTATTTGTGTGTGATGATGCAATTTGACCAGCATATCAGGTACCCATGATGAATGGTGCCACAGGTGGCAGTGCGACTAGTAAGCATCTCTAAGCACTCATATACAGTGCAAGTGTCCCACAGTACTCAACAAGAACTGCAGACCTGTATAGCCGGTGTCGCAGGTTGCAGTATGGCATGGTGTGGACAGTCCATGCACCGTACCCACACCCGAGCGCCCCCCTGTGACTCTATGAAGCATCTGTGGCTATTGTGATTTATTTATTCTTCCTTGTACTAGTATGTATACCTCCTAAACTTCCAGAAATGCCCAAGGGAATTGAGAATGAGGACATTGTTATGTAAGCACTGTGTTGTTGACCTCTGTTTCGAGAACAACATTCGACAACTGGCTGGCATAGTTGTGGCTGTCACTGGCTGAGGCTGCAAGCATCGGGCATGCAAGTGACTGTACATGGACAGCCATCTCAAATACATGTGTCAGGGGGAAGAATACAATAATGGGGGGAGCACAGAATACTGCGGGAGGGGGGGGGGGCAAAATATTTGTGCCCTTTGACTAACATACACAAATGCCCTTTGAGCAAATGTGCTCATACTCCATATGCCCAGGATGATTCAAAGATTACAGAGCAGGCTCCACATTCAATTTCAGATGCAAATACAGGATCAACCTGTGGCAGTCTGGTGCTTTACACACCCAATTTTGTTCTGTCCCGGGATAACTCAGTTCCCCCTCTCTCCGAGACTGTAGTATCTAGAAATTTTGGTACTATCATTGAGGGGGTTCTGCAAAATGTATTGAATTCGGCCTGTAGCACTCCACACACTTGACAGATTCTTATCGGATCTTCTGCATATTGTGTGTAACTTAGTACAGAATCTCCTGACCATTTTGTGCATTTCTATGCAGCCTGCGGAATGTAGGAGAGAGATGGCAGTTCATGTAGGGGGTTCTGCAAAAAGGCATCACATGCGGTCACAGTGGGATCTCGCCGCAAGCGATGTCACGCTTTTGTCATAATATGGGCCTGGGAGATGTGCAAAGTTGCCTCCCTATCTCGACAAGCCCATTATTTGCTCTGTCGGGCTGGTGTAATGTACTGTAGATGGCATATCCATGATACCCCGAGCCATCCCGCTGCGGTCCGTTTAGTGATGCTGCAGTCCGGCTCGGTCCAGTTATTGGCCCAAATTTCCGGACCTGGGACTGGACCCAAGATCCAGTTCAGGTAAATGTCCAGACCGTGAACCTCAAAAAACCAGAAATGGCATTGGGTCCGGTCAGGTTCGGGTTTGAACCCTTCAAAATTACGATATTCAGGTACAGTTCGGGCATTGTGGCTCCACCTGGACCTCATTTCAGGTTCGGTTCACCCCAAAGCCGAACCGCGGACCAGAACCTGGGTCCGGTCCGAGGTTTGAACCGGTTCTCCCAGGTTCGGGAACTGGACTGCGGCATCACTAGGTCCGTTGAGAGTGTCACGAGAGATCTAGTGGATACTGTTTCTTTCCCATGGCCAACATGACCTGTTTTCTCTCCCTCTCTTCAACCACAGCAGATATTCTCATTCTGACTTGGCAGAGGGTCTCTTCTAGGGTATATATACCTGCCTGAGCTTACCCAACATTTTTCGGTTGAGTTTGGAATGAGATATAACGGGGTGAGGGTGTTCTGCAAATTTTGCAGGACCCCCTCAATGATAGTACAATATAGGTCTTTCATAGGGCAAAGACAGAAGTACATTGGATAGGTAGAACATGTGCCACAATGATATTAGTTATGTGTAAAGGACAGGAAGTTGGCCTTCCCATGGTGCAGCTGTTTTGCACTTGTTTGTGGCTGCTCCTGTGGCACTCACTGCATGCTTGCCACCTTTCATTTACAGTGCTTTCCAAAATTGTATAGAATTGACTGAAACTTTTTCTGAGGCCTGGTGGTGCGCATCTGCAAACATTTATTATCCTACCTTGACCTCTGTAGTCTCTATTGGTGTGGTTGGTGGATAGCACACCCCTGGATATGTGGGTAATGGCAGGCAGACCCAATACAACATTGGTCAATGTTGGTCCTGTAGGCATGCACCCCCTGATGTTGGCTCATTGGCCCATAGGCCCATAGGTTATGTTGGACAACGTAGGACAACATAGGCATCCGGTAGGCAGCTGTAGGCAGATGGACAGAAATTCATATCATACCCACATTTCTGAGCTTACAAATTGATCTTGAACCTCAGATCAGCCTTCTGACTGCGCAACAAAACATATATTCAATGTTCCACGGCATAAGGAGACAGTACTACTGATCATCCCCCCCAGGCTGAGGTCCATCTACAAAGCCACCAACACGAGTAATATCTTCATCAAGCGCCTCACCGCCCTCGCCCTCACCATCCCTGTCACGCCCACCACGTCTGGCCAGCCAATCTTGTATCGCATAATCGATGTCATCCTCCGCAAGTCCAGGACCAAGATCCACCGAATCAGGATGGGGAGCGCGAGCATTCTTCCTGAAGTCAAAAGACATTAGCAATGAAAGGCTACAGACTGAGGGAAAGTACATACCGCGCATGCTCAAGAAGGTCAGTTTGTATCGTACGGAGGATGCCATACCTTTGAGTCTTCTCATGGAAGCGCTCAAGTTCTTCGAGGTGCCGATCATACTTCGCCTTATAATGCTTCTTGCTGAATGCGATGTCTTCCCGTTCACCTGTCTGCCATTCATCTAAGACATTCTGAATCTGTGGTGAACAGAGAATTAGCACAGCCATGAACACAAAAAGAGTGACTTACAGCTGTAAGAACGAGAGCAATCACTGGCATGGGCATACGTCAGCCGAAGTACTGATTAAAACGGACACCCTCATCCTTCGGGTCCGCAAACCACGTCACATTGACAAGGCACTGAATAACCTTGTACTCATAGATGCCCAACTGGGCAGTGGGATCCTATCAATTGTCAGGAATACATATGCTTATCTAGCAAAAGGTTTCACTCACCGCATATGCATAACCAAGTCGTGTCAGCAAGTCCCTGACCTTGTTGCGGTTTGCCAGCCGTTCATCCTGGTTGGACGGCGCAGTTAAGCCGTAGGCCTTCTCAACGAGAATGCATGCCTTAGTCTTCAATTCCCCGCGAACATGTGATGCTCGAGCAGTTATCTGCCCATTGGGAGTCAGGTACAGAGGATATGAGAATGAAGGTGTGGATACTCACCATGCTAACAAATTCATCTTCCATCGGTAGATCAGTCCCAATGTCATGGCAGGCCCGTGACCACGCTTCAATGGCCCATCTCTCTTCTTTGGTGTTTGTAGGGTAGGCATATTCAGTAGACACACGAGTACGGTAGTGGCCGATAGCTTCAAGGAGCAGCGACCGCACGACGGACTTGAAGTCTTTGACATGGAAGCGGCCACGGCTTCTGGCACCCCTCGTTCGCCTTACCTTTGTCAATCGGGCAGTTTCGAGAGTGGCCATGCTAGGGCAATCGTGACACCGGCGTACTATGCGGCGAGGACTGGGAGAGGGCGGAGGGCTCGGGATTGGCTCAGGCAACATGTTGGAGTCGGAGAGTGTCGCAAGCAACCGTGACACAGACTGACTTGCATGCGAAGGGCGTTGTGCAAGGTTACGGGCGCGGGCGCGCCATAGATTGTCTTCGCACATGTCATCGTCATGCATGCTGTCTTTGCGCGTGTCGTGCCCGCCCATGTTGTCTTCGAGCATGCGGTCGTCTTTATGTATGTTGTTGTTCTCGTGCATGGTGTCCTCCTCGCGCACGCTGTCATCAGCATGTCTATTGTCACCATGCTCAGCACGCACGTCTTTGCACCAATCATCATTGTCGTCATCGCGCGCATAGCCGTGGTCAGCCACGTCGTCATGTTCGCCAATATTCTGCGTCAGCGCCTGCAAAGTACGCCTATGGCGGCAGCTTGGAGAATTCGGGTCTTCTTCCAATAGCGGCCGTACAGGAGGTATCGTGGTAGTACGACGTACGAGGGTCTTCTTCGCAACCTGTAATTACAAGCTGAATAGTCAGTCAGATGGCGAGAGGGTAGTACTCACTGTAGCCGAGTTGGAGCTTGCCTGTGTCATATTTTCCTTGGCTGCGTGCAGTACAAGCCTGGTCCGACCATCTTTAGAGTAGCGGACAGACTGGATGGGCGGTAGCCTCACAATTTGAGAGAAATGACTATCTTGCGTCTCGCGTTGCTCGATTGTGCTTTCGTCGTCGGGGTCCACGATGGGCCTGCGCGCATGCACAGCAGTGTTCCTTGCTCGAGGCGCAGGGTCTGCTGGTCGAATAAAGAACTACACAATACCGTTCCCACTGCATGCTCCTGGGTCAGGCTGTCCTCGAAGTCCTCATCCTCTGATTCAACCGATTTCCCATTCTGCGTTGAGTCTATCAAATCTCTCGAAAGGCGGACTCATCGATTACTCACGTGTGCATTCCCTATCGTGGAAATCATTCTCTTCTTGTTGTTTCTGGCGCCTCTGTAGCGCCACCGTGTTTGCGCGATTTCATATTTCCTGTGCCTTTGCCTGTTCGTTTTCGACTGGTTGTTGCTAGTATGTGAACTACTTGAGAAAGGAGGATATGATGAGGACCCACCTAGAGACAGGTATTTTTTGGTTGCCTTGCGCTGACGTCCGCCTTGTTTCCGAGCATCCAGAAGGTGGACCGCCTTCTCGACTTTCGCAAGGTTCTTCCTGGTCTTCGCAGGCATGATGTCTGAGATAGAATGCGACAAGAAAGCAAATTAATGTTCGTGAGAGTATGAAATAGGGCGGTAGACATGTGCTCACCTCTCGCTTTTGTGGGACCCGCAGTCGGAGCTGCGTCGAACTCTCCAGAAAGCAGTCAATGTCACAGGACTCCAGCTACGCTGGCTGTATTGTCATGTTGTCACATTTGTTTGCATCCATATTCACGTTCGTGTTCACGTTTGCATTCGTCTTAGTTGCTGTCTCGTTAACGTTGGCCCTTATTGCTCTCGTATACTGTGTAAACGCTGCACTATGCCGACTTGCAACTTCTGCGGACGTATGCTGCTGACTCCTGCTGGCCTGAAGATGCATGTTCAGCGCGTATGCCGATCTCAGTGGCAGGCGTGCCTTTGCAAGTTCTCTATTTCAGTGTCCGAGGAGTTTGACCTTGACACCGAATCTGACTCTGACTCTGACTCTGACATAGAGCCTGCTGGAGATGAGCCCGTGCTAGGTGAGCCTGTTGGTCCTCTTGATCCCCGGAACCCGGTGCTGTCTCCTTCGTTTGTACCTGCCGACAATACTGGTGCCGGTGCTCCTCCATCCCCCTCATCAAGCTCGATCGATGATGATCCAGTGGCAAAGACCTATGAAAGATTTATTGAGGAGTATCCTCATGCAGCAGGCTCTCCACTACACCCAGGCTCGACACTGTTTGAGCAAATCCGGGACGAGCAGCAGGCTGCGGGAGTGTCTCCATGGACACCCTTTGCTGATGAAGATGATTGGCGGCTGGGTGAGTGGCTGATTCGGAATGTGGGTAAGGGCGAGACAGACAAATTCTTGAAGTTACCTATGGTGCGGATCCTATTTGAACATTGTTGTGTCTGCTGATTGCTGTCTCTAGATTTCCAGATGTGCCTCCCCCTCTTACAAGACTAGCCGATCATTTCTACAGAAGGTCAATGCAATTCCTACAAGGGGTGCCAAATGGCATCGGGATATCATTACAGTTGGCGGTGACCGCTTCAATGAAGATGGAAAGATCATGAAGGAGAATCTGGAGCTGTGGCGCCGGGACCCTGTCAAGTGTATCCGGGAGTTGATCGGGAACCCTGCCTTTCGAGAGAAGCTTGCGTATGTCCCCGAGCGAGTCTACCGTGATGAGACATCTCGTACTCGAGTGTATGATGAGATGTGGACAGCAGACTGGTGGTGGGACATTCAGGTATAGCAAACTCTTTGCCCTGTAGTATGTAGATGGAATTGAATATCATTATGTAGGATCGTCTGCCAAAGGGTGCTACAGTGGCTCCTGTAGTGATCTCATCAGACAAGACAAAACTGTCCAATTTCCATCGGGACAAGTCAGCATGGCCAGTCTACCTTACTATTGGCAATATCGAGAAGAACACCCGGCGTCGGCCCAGTTCACGGGCTATGGTCCTCATAGGTTACCTTCCTGTGAGCAAGCTTGATTGCTTCACTGACCGAGCCCAATCTGTGGCTGGTTACCGCTTGTTCCACTATTGCATGAAGGAACTCCTCTTGCCACTTGTTGCTGCAGGTCGTAATGGTGTGGAGATGACATGTGCTGATGGATGGGTCTGGCGTGTCTACCCAATCCTTGCAGCCTATATGTTGCAGACCATCCAGAGCGTTGTTTGGTGGCTTGTTGCGAAGAGAACCGCTGTCCTCAGTGTCCTATTGCCTATGAAGACTCAGGAAGCCTTTTGGATTCCAGAGCATACCAAGAATATACTACAGCAGCATGCTACTGGAAGATGGGTTCAAGCCTTCAAGACTGAGGGCCTACATTCTGTTGCAGAGCCATTCTGGGTGGACTTGCCACATACCGACATCTTCACTGCATTGACACCTGATCTCTTGCACCAGCTACACAAGGGGATATTCAAGGATCATCTCGTGGAATGGTGTATGCATCTCTCAACTAAAGATGAGATTGATGAGCGCTTTCGCTGCATGACCGACCACCCAGGCTTACGTCATTTCAAGAATGGCATTTCTCTGGTTTCGCAGTGGACAGGGACTGAATTCAAGTAAATGGAGAAGGTCTTTATAGGTCTCTTATCTGGTGCTGTTCATCCAACTGCTGCAAAGGCTGCTTGTGCAGTTCTGGATTTCATTTATTATGCTCAGTTCCACACTCACACCTCCGACACTCTTGAAGCTTTGCAGGCTGCCCTTCAAGAGTTCCATGCCCACAAAGAAATCTTCATTACCATGGGTGCTCGCAATCACTTTAATATCCCAAAGTTACATGCTTTACAGCATTATATTGACTCAATTTGCTCTCGTGGAGCAGCCGATGGCTTCAATACTGAACTCCCTGAACAACTTCATATCGACTATGCCAAGGATGCTTATCATGCAAGCAACAAACGTGACTATGTGGAGCAAATGGCAAAGTGGCTTGAAAGGCAGGAATCAGTTGAGCTTTTTAATTCCTACTTATCCTGGCTCAATGTGTCATCGGAGACTGATCCTGAAGATGAGGAGGATGAGGAGGACGAGGAGGAGAGGGATGAAGATCAAGAGGATGAGGAGGATGGGAGTGACACTGATGAGGGAAATCAGGAAGATCATGCTGCTCTTGCTACCTCTGCCAGCCAGCAACCTGCCCTGCTCTTGGACAGATGCCTCCTTTCTCGTCAACCAGCATTCCCTGTCATGAAGATTCAAGATATAATTGTGAAGCACAAGGCAACTGAATTTATTCCGGCTCTCTCCACATACCTTCAAGAGACCTGTCACCCTGCTAAGGCTCACCAAGTGATACTCCCAAATGGATATGATCGACTGGATGTGTACAAGCAGGTGAAGATTGCTCTACCACAGATTCCAATCCTGGAGGACAAACCACGCTTGGAGAGAGTTCGTGCAACACCTGCGAGTCCATCCCATGCTGGGAGAGATCCTGGGACTGATCATTTTGACACAGTTCTGGTGAGGGTGGAGGAAAGGAATGAGTACGTTTCAGGTACTGGATTGGCAGGTATGTCCTTTATCTCTAACAATGATTAAGCTGGAATCTGATAGTTGATAGGTCTACGGGTTGCCCAAGTGCGGGTGATATTCAAGCTTCCGCAATACCTGCAGAGTCATCCACAGCAGTCACGGCCTCTTGCTTATGTGGAATGGTTCACTCCATTCCGTACTCAAGATCAGGACCTTCAGCTCTATTCTATATCCCGCAGCATGAGAAACCAGCGTCCAAATGCTCAGGTTATCCCCTTGGACAACATCTTCCGAGGCTGTCACCTGATACCCAAGTTTGGTGTTTCAGTGAACAAAGAATGGTCATCAAGTAATGTGCTGGAGAAGTGCAAATCATTTTATCTCAATAGTTGGATAGATTTTGTCATGTTCTACCAGATGCACTGCCTTGATTTAGTCTGCTAATCATAATGTGGCTACTTGACTGCAGGAATAATGAAGTCTGGTGCAGCTGTATTATATAGTATTATAGAGAATGAACCCTCCTACAGTTGCCTATATCATCTCTGTGCATGTCTGCAGTGCCTACAGATGCCTACAGGATCAGGTCCTGTCTACCATGCCAATATTGCATGACATAAATACCCCTGTATCTATATCAAATTCACTGTTTGCTGATGTGGATAAGGCCCTGGCCCTGGCATCAGCATAAAACTGCAGTTATTCATGCTGACTGGCTTCAAGACTTGCCAAAACAGGCAGGGAATGTACTTGATATCTGCTGGACAGCTGTCTTCAAGTGACCTTGAAGGTCTCTGTGTCATCCTCTGAGCCCTATGATGTCAATAGGAAGAAGTCAAAGAGACTTGGACAATTGGCCCAAGCAGCAAGAGTAAGGCAAAAGTTGCAATGATTCTGTATAATTCTGAGAAGCACTGTAACCAAAGAGTTTGTGGTTTCAACTATTTGTATGGAGCCTGTCTTCTAGGTGTAATTCATGATGAAGATTTTCGGACTGAAAGAGGCTCAGCCAGTGTATTTCTGAGACCTCATATGTCCACACTGCACTTCAGATCAATAACCTTCCAGCAATCAGCAAAACGATAGAGAAGTTTGGGATTTTCTGCACTCAGCAGCCACGGAGCTGCTTAGGTATTAGAGTAGGGTATCACCAATTTTGCCCCGCTGATGCTGTGTCGTGATCAACAACAGTGGTGAGTGGTGGTGCCCTGTGGCCCCGAGTGGGGTATAATTACCTTTCCGGGCTCGGCTGCCTGAGCAAAGAATTCTAAAAATTTTCTATTGTTTCGCCGATTGCTGTCAGTCATCTCGAAGCACAGACAGTTCAGAGCAATGAGCATGGCACATTTATCAGGGAAGTTAAACTCAGAGAAAAAGAAGACTCCAGTAATATTATATATATATATATCTGTGGGTGTGCTTCTGTCACAGAAGTTCTGTGGCTTGGGCAAGTATGTAACCCGATCTGATCTAGACATATGACCTAAGCTGACTCACGTGATTCGACTCCGTCCGTCCTGTAACAGTAACGGTTTAGCGCAACTCGCACTCGCGGTCACTGCAGCTGGACCCCCTGATTCTACGGTCTTGCATGGGTCTCGAGTATGCGCATTGACTGCATTGTGGGAGGTTCGATTTTGTATTTTCCTGCTTTCGCTGTGCTTACTCTGACCACTCCACCGATACCACCGACATCGAATCTGTGACATCACCATCGTCACCCCGTCCATCCCTTCACCCAGCCGTATATAAGACCAGCATGGACTGCCAGGCGCCCCGCACGGATACGTTTCTTTGTACTAATTCCACTCGATAATCCATACCATGACCTCCAAAAACGTGTTCCGACTGAAGACGTCGTACCAGACGTACGACTGGGGCAAGCAGGGCTCCTCTGCGCTCGTCGCCAAGCTCGCGCCCAATTCCGTCGGGCCAGACTTTAAACTCGACGAGAACACCACCTACGCAGAGGTATGCGGCTTATCTACCCTCCTGTTCAGTTAGATCACGTTGCTGACTCAGGCAGACATGGATGGGCACGCACCCCAACGGCCCCGCCTCCATCTACGACACATCCCAGTCTCTCAAGTCTCTGATCGACGCGAACCCCGCGCACTTCCTCGGCTCCGCCTACAAAAAGTGGCCGCGCACGACCGACATCCCCTTCCTCTTCAAGATCCTCTGCGCGGGCAAGGCCCTCCCCCTCCAGGCGCACCCCGACAAGGCGCTCGCGGAGGAGCTGCACCGCCAGGACCAGGGGAAGGGCGAGTTCGTTGACGCGAACCACAAGCCGGAGATCGCGGTGGCAATCGGGGATCCGCTGGACGAGGCGTGGGGCGAGGGGGTGGTGTTCCTCGGCTTTGTGGGATTCCGCCCGCTCGACGAGATACGCGGCTTTTTGGAGGACGTGCCGGAACTCCGGCAAGCTATCGGGGACGAGGGCGTGGTCAAGTCGTTCTTGGAAAACCCGAGCAAGGAGACGCTCAAGCGCGTGTACGTCCAGCTGCTCACGCGCGGCAAGGACGATCCAGAGGGAGTGAAGAAGGACGTGGAGATGCTCGTGGCGCGCACACAGGGCGGCGCGGCGCAGCTCGGCGAGGCGGGCAAGCTCGTGCTCAAGACGCATGAGCAATACCCCGGCGACGTCGGCGTGCTCGCCACCTCGTTCTTCATGAACCTCGTCAAGCTCAAGCGAGGGGAAGCAGTCTTCTGTGATGCCGACACCGTGCACGCATGGCTTGAGGGCGGTAAGTCTTTGCATATCTTCCCCCATCCTTCATTAGAGTGTATCTGCTGTGGTAATTACCACTGAATTTCATGAATAGGCGTAAGTGAGCTTTGGAATAGGATGGTGCCCCACAATTGCAGTTTATGCATCACTTTCAGAATAGCACCACCCTATTCCAGGCATAGCATTCTGTGGTAATTACCACAACAGATGCACTGTCTTGTCTTTGCTGTGTCATTCACGCTGACCCGACGCAGAGATCATCGAGTGCATGGCCGTCTCGGACAATGTGCTCAATAGCGCCTTTGTCCCTCCCCCAGAACGTGACGTGCGCACCTTTGTGAACATGCTCACCTATGCCTACCGCCCGCCCTCCGGCTGGTTCCTCCCTCGCAAACCCTACGAGCGCTCGAAAAATGGGAAAACCGAAAAATTCGCGCCGCCCCTGGATGAATTTGCGGTGTTGTGGACATCGTTAGGAAAGGATGTTGTAGGGGAAGGCGAGGTCCTGGGAGCGAGCCCGGGCCCGACGATCGGGATCGTGACCAAAGCTGGCACCAAAACCGGGGATCTGGCAAGCGGGGAGGGGAGGGTACGGTTTCAGGTGAAGGGGGAGAGCGAGGAGGTGCCCGTCGGTGGGGTGGTGTTCGTCGCGCCGGGGAACGAGGTTGCGGTGAGCATGGTCGGCGCGGAGGGCGAGGCGGAGGTGTGGTGGTCGACGTGTTTGGTTGAGGCATGAGGGTAGAAGTGTTTCCTGAAAGCATAAATGAGGGGGGAGATGGAAGGGCATCAAATAGCCAATGTTGTATTCTAATGTGCATGTGTCCAAGTAGTATACAGCGCACGTTCGATGTGATCGCTTATAATGTCACGATATGGTGCATAACATGCATTAAAGGCACATTTTAGAAGTCCACTGCGCGGGATGGGTAGATATGGCGGCCTTCGACGCCAGAGCGACTATGATCATGCATAGCGCAGCGGACTTGAACAAGGCCATCAAAGACACCCAGAAGCCGCCCGACAGGAGCAAAAGGACCTACATTGTACATTAGATTCGCGCAGTTTTCGACGAGCCAACTAGGCAAGGAGGGTACTTGCTGCTCTTCAGGGGGGGGGGGAAGTTCGGATGCCGATTCCATCGATAAAGTAGTGCGAGTAGCCGACCTGTATGCTCCATTACCCTACACCAATCAGATAGTATAGAGGTGATAGAAACAATCATGATGAATTCAACACAGTAAGAGGAACGACCGCACTGATTATAGAAGAGACTGACAACCCGAAGCCCTATGCGAAATGAACGCCAGCATCATGGAACGCTGATAACAATCTACAGACGCAGGTGAGTAAAGAGTGTTGAGGTGAATACGAGATAACGCACTTCAGTAGTTCGTCTATACCCATCTTCGCCGCACGTTCTTCTGAATAGCCGGTGTCGAGCAGAATCTGCTCTACCTTCGCCTTCATATCAAGATCATCTTCCACAATCTGTAAGGTAACAGAATCAGCACAGACGCGGCGGACTACGAGAGAAGAAAGTACCTTATCCTTCTCAGCACACCACGTCCGATAATTCTGCTCCAGCATCTCGATGACGCCCTTCGCCAAAAAATTCGCATGCACCGTCTTATTCCTCCTACTAAACACGATCCTATTCATCCCATCAAACTCCTCGAACCTCACCGGCGGGGGCGGGTCCGCGGGCACAATCCTAACCACTGAGCTCTCGACCTGCGGCGGTGGACGAAAGTTGTTCTTGCCGACTTTCATGATGTGGTCGACCTTCGCGTAGAGTTGGACGTTCGCGGACAATCGCGACCAGAGGTTCGAGCCGGGCTGCGCGACGAGGCGCATGGCGAACTCGCGCTGGAACATGAGGATCGCGACGCGGAAGAGGGGGCGGTGCGAGAGGAGGCGGAAGACGAGCGGCGAGGAGATTTGGTAGGGCGTGTTGGAGATGCAGACGTCGAAGTAGGGTAGGTCGGCTTTGACGAAGTCGCCAATCATGATTTCTAGCTTTCGCTGTTCTGGTCTGGGGAGGAAGTAAAGTCAGTTGCATGGGACGCCGGAGGACTATGCGTACACTCACTTTCCCTGCACACGCTTCGTCAACTCTGCAGCCATCCGAGGGTCCGCTTCCACGGCCGTCACATGTTTCGCCTTCTCCAATATCCGCACGGTCAGGTTCCCTGTCCCAGGACCAACCTCGAGCACTTTGTCCGTCGGTCGCAAGTTGGCCTGTTTTGCTCCGTCAATCAAGAGTGTGATAGATGAAGAGCCCTCGCAAACGCACTTTGTCAACTATACTACTCGTAAGCATAAGCGTCTGCCACGGCTTGAAGTAGCACGGACGTACCCTTGCGCAACTAAAGGATTTTTGAGGATATGCTGCCCGAACCGCTCGGTATTGAAAATTGGGTTGTGTGCAGCGCCGCCAGCGTCACCACTGCTCCCAGATTTTGATTTCGACTTGACGGGTGGTTGGTGCGCTCTAGAGAAGCGTTCGGAGGTGGCGCGAGGCATTTTTGGGATACGAGGAGGAGGTATGTGGGCCTCTGCAGCAAGTCCAAGGATGCTCAGGCTCCAAGTCTGAGAAGTGGTCCCGCACTGGTCCCAGGTCCGCCGAGAGACCTGCCGGAGTGTGCCGGGAACAGAAGGATACCCACCCTCCCTCGGACCAGGACAGGGTTGACCGTGAATAATCACTGCATACGTTGTATATTGCAACTTAAGTTGTACTGTGAGCAGAGACACCCATAACCTACTAGTAACTCTGTATTTTTGATGGTTGACTGGCCAAGGTCGTATATATGGAAGGGATATACTTAGCAAGATACTGAAATAGCCTTGAATCCCGATTGGCAAGGCAGGCCCTGTCCTAGCATTCCATCTCCCAATGGGCGACAAGATGAGTAATATCTCCTCCAGCTTGCCGCTAGTGAATACACGGCTTACAATGCTTCTTTCCGCTTCCTGAATGCGATCTCAGTGGATGATAGTGGCAGAGATAATGCCAACCTGATATAATCAATATGTGGTCGTGCAACTCCGAATAGCGAGGGTGGTCTACCATCATATTCACATCCCAAGTCGTTCGATTACAGAGGGGCCCAAACGGGGTGTTTTATATTGCCTTCGGTTAGTCACTTCTGACTTTACCGTCACGCCCGGTCGAGCGCAAGGGCCATTCACTACTTCAGCTCCAGCCACACTCAGGCTGGAACAGGGAGTGTGGCAAACACATGGGCGTGATCAAAGAATGGAATCAAAACATGCTTGCTATCCTTCCCGTACCTTCTGCGGGGGGGATTGATCGTCTCAGAGAATATTCAGTCTGCCAGCGATTCCTCAACTCCCGCTCCGGAGGGACCGAGAGCAGAGTGATAATCATCATCATCATATCAACCGGACGCAATAAGTCTGATAACGCAGCTATGCAGAGTGCCAGAACACTCAAATCAACGACAGAAATGATTATAGTCTGGATCCAAAGGCGTACAACCGTCAGACTGCATCCCGACGCCTGCAGACGAGTCGATCTTAGTTACCCAAAATAGGCCAAAGAAGCCCCCTTCACGTGACTTGACGCGCAGAAGCGCCGTCGGTTGCAGTCCGACGAGTCGTTCCCATCTCTCTCAGTGCGCTACCAACACCATTCCATATACCCCCAGCCTCAATCAGTAAGTGCTCGCTACTGCTGCCAGCTGAATATCTGATGTTGATTCTGCTCAAGTATATGAACTCGTAACGATCCAACGATTCTACGATTCCACTCCTTTGTCTTCACTGTACTATATTTTCGTCATGACACCCCGAGCAAGGCGCCAGGCGCGCTCTTCGAGGACGAAGCCCTACACCAAGAAACGACTTACTTCACCGACTGCGTCTGCTCCGGAAAGGGACGTATCGCAGCCGCAGCCTACAGGACCGAGCCCAACCGCCGTCGCTCCCACGACTCACGATAGACATGGTTACCCTACCCAGGCCCAGTTTTCCGACATCCTCGAGCGATACATGGCATCTCTACACCCTAGGAAGGCCGTAAAAGCACTCATTGACCGGGAAATGTACGATAAGATCCACGGCACCCTCACCAATCCTACCGACCACAGAATCGGCAATGCGCAATTCCGATTCTGGGTGAGGAAGATGTTCACGCTCGAGCACGTCCCAGGGTACAGTGGTCCGTACTCTGAGAGTGGAGACCCTGACAGTCCACCGCATGTGGTCGTACACGAGAACAGGCCCGTTGCGATCAAAGAGGACTTGTACTCTGTTCTCTGTCATAGCCATTCCCTCGCACAGCACGGAGGGAGGGATCGCACGTGCGCCGTTGTCCGGAGCCTGTACTCGTATGTTCCGAAAGTCCTTATAGCAGCCTTTGTGGCGTCCTGTCCGACGTGCCAATTCCGGAAGACGGGAGATCCCATCTACATCCCCTTCACGGAACAGCAGCCTCCGGAGAAAGTCGAGCCGAGTCCACCACGCGCTCAATTTTTACCTGACCGAAAGGCGGAGAAGGAAGTGGTAGATGTAGAGGATCCCGGGATGGTATATTTCGGGCCGGGACCGGTGTATCCCTTCCATGATGGTGGAATACTTATGACCCATCCTCCCAGTCATCCTTTATTCATGCCACCATGGTCATCTCTTCCCATCCCTATGCCGTCATTACAACCTCCGTCCCATGCCCACCGCGGCTCCACGTCGAGCATTGATACGTCCGTCTCCTCGCTCAGAACGCCCGACACGGAGCAACACTTCCCCCTTACCTTGCCGCCGCTGCATCTACCACCTATCCCTACGTCTCCACCAAGGGAGAACGCCAGCCCTCACTTCCCCTTCCAGTCTACGGGATTCACTCCAAAGGCGCAGCGCTGGGAATCAGATCCCAACTTCCCACCCTTCTCCACGCCGTCCTCGTTCCCCTCGAGCCCCAGCAAACACCGCCTACCAAGCGTCTCGCAACTGCTGCGCATGGAGGGCGTCGACGACGACAGTTATATTCACGGTCGCGGCGAAGAAGAGGCCGTCAGACTTCCTCCCATTGTGGCAGCATTAACCGACGATGGTGTCCTGGGCCATACTCGGGAGGGACGGCGGGGCGAAATCCCCATCGATCCTTTCCTGCTAGGCAATGGCGTCCCATCTGGCACTTACAACTCGGGCTCGGCTCAACGCGAGTACTTCGTCGACGACGAGGTATTCGCCCCTTCGTGTGACGCCTCTCCATCTCGGCCCGTAGCTACCAAGCCCAGGACGAACCCTGTGCCGTCAATCATGGTCAGTGGTGCCGCATACACCCACTCGCGGCCGCCACCGCTTGACCTAAGCAGGATATCCACTCTCCACCCCGGCGGCTCCATTCCCCTCACGCCGTCTTCCGTCAGTCCTCTCAGCTCGGACCGTTCGAACATGCCTACCGGAAGTTCGGCATCGTTCGACGTGGCCAAGGGCGATGTTGTATGTGGCAGCGAGAAGAATGCTGAGGGCAAGCGTAAGGCTAAAGGAAAGAGGAAGCAACTGGAACACGATCAGAATGTAGGGTATCAAGACATGGCCGTCTCCCCTGGCAGGAAGCGGCGTTCGGGAAGATGAAGCCGCAAAGTTGTTTCTCAATAAACGTGGCAGGGCCATGATCAGTCTACGTCACGAATTCTCTCGCCGGTAGGCGTCTCATCACATTGTACCACCGGACAACAACTACTAGAACAAACGACATTTGTATCACTATTTCACATGGATTTTGTATCCCCTAGATTCGTTCTTCTCTCCTCTGTACATATGTGATTCGTCGGACGATACTGTTTTTGTCCAATTCTGTACAACGTTGTAAAGTATTAGAATGGTAGCACAAGTCTACGACATTATGTTGACAATCAAGGAGCAAGTATGGACAGATAGAACTTGCCATGTCTTACACGGCCCCCTTATTGAGATCGCAGACAGCGAAACCCCCGTATTGGAAGACGCCGCCGTTAATGAGGACATTATTGTAGGGGTCTACGGCGAGAACGGTCATATAGCTCATGACTGAACCGTCGTCGTAGTATATGAGCGAGGGCTTGAAACCCTCAGACCGATCGAGGCGGACGGCTGCGGCGGGCACCTTGTAGGTCTTCCCCAGTTCGTGGGCATGGTTAATGTAGGCAGAACGACGCTCAATGCCTGGGAAGACTAGGAGGGCCCAGTTAGTCTGCGATAGCCTGTGTCAGTAGCAGATAGGCGCACCGGTAACGACTACGTCCCGTGTTGTTGGAATGATGTTAATGTTATCAGCGGCTGCTCCCAGATGCTGACAACATCGTGAAGGTCGCAGGTGCAGGAGGAAGGCCACAAGGGCGGATGAGCGAAGCTAAATAGGCTCGAAAATAGCACGTAACGTACAATGGTAGCGGTGTTGATCAGGCTGTGGTCCGGTTGTATCTCGTATACCCGAGCGTCCCCCGTGCGACAGTCGCCCACATATAGCTCATCGTCTGAGATAAGTATACCATTGGCTCCTGGATGTGTATCTGAAACCCGACGACATGTCACTTTCTACGAGGTATGTTAGTTGTCCTAGTGAGCGATCAGACTTTCGATAGGGGAATCACTTACTGGCCCGCTGGCATCGCAGTGCTGAACGTTCGTCGCCCAAGTCCAAGGGCCGTATGAATCCTCGAATCGGCGGAAAATCCCGTCCTTGGCGGTGAAGTAGTGGTCGTTGGTCGTATAAAAGTTTCTGCAGGACAAATGAAGCAAGCCCCCTTGAGGCTATGAGTAGAGATGTAGTATCGTTATCTACGTACAGAGGTCCAGTAGCCGCGACGCCGTTCGCGTTGTATATACCAGCATGTTTGACGTCCTTTACAAGTACGACGTTATCGGAGCCTAAGGTGTGCGAGAAGATCGAGATGGAGTCCCCCGATCGAGCATGGTTCACTGCAAAGATGTGTATCTATGAAACGTCATTGTCTTAGTGAGAGCCCTTACGCAGGGGTGTCTAGGATGATCTACCGACCTTGGTAGGATCGTCGGGGAACGAGTATATGTCTATGCCGTGAGTGATGAAATCACCATCCAATCCGTGAACCTTCAGCTTCGTTGTCTCTCTCCGTTTGATGTCATACTTCAGCAGATACTCTTTGAATGACGCCTCCTCCCGGGAAGCGGCATCGTAGCGTCCGGATGCTGGATACCATTTCGTGCGCTCCTCGGGATTGCCGCAGGCCACGAACGCCGTGTTGCTGGCAAAGTGGATTTTCACGTCTTCGCAAGCGTCACCCTCATAGTGGACTGTGCATCGCTCGTTGTTCACAGCACTACTGTTGACCCAGCGAGTCACCTTTCCGGGGTTGACGTTGACCTTGCCCACCGCATTGAAAAGGGGTTGAGGCTGTAGGAAAGCCAAAGCCCCGGCTAAAATCGGTATAGCCAGAGAGAAAAGAGAGGGGCCTCCAGTAGTCCTAACGTTCGACATGGTGGTTATGCCAAAGACGAGTCTCCGATGCCATAATGCGTACCACCATGGTATATCACCAGCTGTATGCCAACTGATAGGCAAGCGGCATATGTTCGGGAAGGTGCGTCGGGTGACCAGTCGCTAAATTTGGCGGACATTAACGTTGCGTGAAGCAAAGCCCAAGCAGCATATTTGCCGCTCCAATACCCGTAATTCCAAGCTGATTATGCAGGTAGATGGCACCAACATCGCAATCAGCGATAGCCCGTGGACTACGTTCAGGCTGGTAACATCGCTCGATCCCGCAGACTCGTCAGTAGCTCCGATCCCTGCCGAGTGGTATCAAACCCTAAATTAGGGGTTCCCTCTTTCAGCCAGTGGCGCTGCATGACTATCGCATACAAAACTGTCACTGTCAGCCAGGAGAAGGTTCCTCGGTTTGATTATTATCTTATAAAAGAGGCGATTATCGTAGAAAGAGGTCGTGGTATTGCATAGCCTGAAAAGAGTATCAGTGCTGACAGTCGGATGGAATGGTGCAGACCATGCAATGTCCCACTGCCAAAGCGATCCACAGCAGTGCATCGAAAGGATCGCACATGTCTTCCAACATGATTGAAGTGGGCCTTCTCTGTCAACAGCGCATCATGCCCAACTTTCCGTAAGATGGCGAAAATGCCGGCTCCACGGTTTTTTTGGGCTTACGAAGATATCAACTCTGTCGTTCTATCATCAAATCAGCATATGTAGCAATAACGAACAGATGCCCCATCCTCCGAATACAAGGTCCAACATTTTTACTTGCCGCGTCGTTGAAAGGCAGTGGAATGAGAGATCGCAACCCGATCATTAGGGTGGCCATGCACATCTTAAGCTTTGCGGGATCTTCGTCTCCGGAGCTCGTGGAGACATCGATACATAAGGTATATTGTCTTCATCAGCGCATCTGTCTCTCGGGACATCCTCAGTGGCTCCGATGGAATCGCTCAGTTTCAAGGATGAGTGGGAAAGCCGCTGTCGAACGCCTCCTCTACGTCCCCTTTCGCCGGACCTCCGCCTCTTGCAAGTTTCGGGCACGTCCGATCAGCCCGGATACCCCACGCGCATCGAGTTCACCGGAATCGTCGATGAATACCTCTCGAATCTGCACCACCGCAAAGTCCGGAAAGCTCTCATAGACAGGAAGACGTACGGGACCATACACTACACCCTTCGGTACCCAAGAGACGTCAGCGTCGAGGATGCACAGTTCCGGCATTGGGCGAGGAAGAAGTTCTCCTTGGAACGTATACCTGGCAGCACAGGCGAACAGGGACCTCTTATGCTGATGCATCAGAGTCGCCCCGTAGCCATCAGGGAGGACTTGTACGACATCCTTTGCTATTGCCATTCGTTGTGCCAGCATGGAGGCAGGGATCGCACGAGCAGTGTCGTGAAGGACATGTATTCCTATGTCCCGCGGCAGATAGTGGCGGCATTCGTCAGAAAGTGTCCCACCTGTGCAGAGAAGCGATCTCGCCAGGCGACATCTTCAGCTGACACCGGAGCAGAGAAGGAGGGCTCGGGAGTAAAGTATGAAGCACATCTACGTCGCCACGCTGGAGGCAGGAGTGATGAGCAGACCAGCTCACTCAAACCTCCACCAGCGGGATACGGGGTGGCGCTAGCGGCTGTATCACAGGGGTCCAGGCATGGGGAGGGAAGGGCAGGCTCAGGTGGAACGGGAGGAAGTGTTGTTGCCGGCCGACAACCGGTGCGAGCGTCAGTACCTCGAGGGAAAGACGCTACACACCGGCGATCCCAAACCAGCCAAACCGGACACGATGTGGACGTTGGACGTGCAGGCCTGCCTTGTAGACAGCGAGATACTTCAAGCACTATCGATCAACTTGAAGCGATAGCATCTATCACGTCAGGTTCTGGGCGCCCCGCTCCAAGATTACCCAGTTTCGCTGAATTCTCGGCAGGAATACCCATCAGTCCTCCCGCCAATGGACTGCGAACTCCTTGGGAACCTTTTCACTCGGATCGCCACCTCGTGTCGGTCAGTAGTGGGCATTCCGCAGCCGGATCAGCGCACTTGCATCTTCGGTCGATAATCCGTTATCGGTCGACCGATTCAGAAGGCTGGAGAAGGGACTGAGATTCAATCTGCACGCGGGGTGCAGTGTGCGACAAATCGAGTATGAATTCGAGTGAAGGTAAGCAGGCGGCAGCTTGCGAGCGACATACCACATGACGCGGACCTTCTGTGGACGGACCATATGGCCTTTGGTCCGGGGGCTAACCTGCACACAAGTTATTTATGTTAGACAGCCATACTTGAACGTGACAGGCAGACCTTACAACTCTACTATTATATTTATCGCATGTATTTATGTATGTTACGGACTGTGCTAGCGACGAACCGATGCATAAGACAATAGGTTCTTGTAGTAGTCGTTTAGATAGAGCACTCACTATGTATTGGATATTGCTGCTGATTTCATTTATACCAATGACGACCGTGACAAGGCATAATGTCAAGGAAGTGCCATCAGTCGCCCATTTACGCGAGACGTCCATGCATCGGCTCTGATCGAGTTCCGTCAAGATACAGAGATTGCGGACGTATTCGGGTCAGCTGCATAGTGTTTTGTTTTATTGGGGAACCAAGCCCTCTCAAACGCAACCCGCTGACTGAACAGTGAAGCCTGCTTGAAGGCATTTCTTGAAGTATTGCGATGAATTTAACTATCTGGCCTTGACGGGTCGGGAAGGTGAACCAGTGGAATTACCCACCACTGCATTGTTCCGCTCAAGGACATTTCTGACACGCAATTAGGAAAATAAGGAAAGCACTAGGTATGGATTGGTGCTGTCATCTCTGACGTACCTATCGAACCAGCAGACGAGGCTTCATATAGAGGCGATTCTGGGAAGAGTAAACAATGGTATTGGTGGTCCATTGTCCGCCAAACTGCCTGCTTGTGGCCTTTCAGTCTAGGCTGGAGTTTTGCTGTACGATGCGGTGCAAAGATGGGCGCACGCAACTCGCCGCGCAAGAGCCCAATAAGCGCCCACCGGGCAAAATACAGTTACATAATCACGGCAAACCGTTGTTGCCGTTCTGCTGTATTTGGCCAGTTGCGCCCTCCCCCGCTCAGACGAAATCCTCGACTCTGACAGCAGATCGCCCGTCGCGAACACCGGAAATCTTTGGGCCGCGGGTCAAGAGCATAGGTCGGGCAAGGAACAGCGTTGGACGCTGAGAACAACAGACGAGCGCCAACGCTGAGCCATCAAGCCCACGTTGTTCTTGTTCGCGATCTGTCAGTCGATCCTTTTCTTGGTTACTCTCTTCGACGACCGCCACGACGACAAAGACAAGGGCGTGTTTTCCTTGCTTCTGGGGCTGAGCCGGGCGATTTTGGTACTTAGCTGCGGAGTTGGTATTGCTCTAGCCAACAGCCTCGGCTTACGCGAGCTGTGGACCCGCGTCTTCCCTTCTCGTTGCAGTGGCATCATCTACGCACGGGGTTCAACAGGCCACTTCTTTTGTTCTTTCCCCGGACTTCAACTTGACTCTTACGTTCACCTAGACGCGCCCGCCAATAGCCATGGACGCCTCTACTAGCTTACAGATACCAGAATCCTCGATTCCCGGCACGTCGAGGCAGGCCAGCAACGCGCGACCGGTATCCGTGACTGTCAATTCCACACCACCTGCACAGTCTGCAGGGCGTCATCGAGCCTCCCACAATGTAGTGTCCTCGTCTCAACATCAGCAAGAGAATTCTCAGAACGACCAGCCTGCCTATCGCGATGTATACTCGCACCCAGCGGCCATCGCCTACGCTGCGGCTCACCCGCGTCGTACAATCCCGAAGTTTGGACCCTATCTCCTCTTGCAAACGTTGGGCGAGGGTGAGTTCGGCAAAGTGAAGCTGGGACTGCATTCGCAATGGGGAGAGGAGGTGGCTGTTAAGCTTATTAGACGAGGAAACATCGACTCCAACGTGCGGATGTCAAAAATTGAGAGAGAAATCGAGGTTCTGCGGGTGCGTAATTACGCCCGCTTTAATGTGTTCTGTCTGATGTATCGGCTGTAGACCCTCAAACATCCCAACATCGTCCGTCTGTACGACGTCATCGAGACCGATAAATATATCGGAATCATCCTAGAATACGCGTCCGGCGGTGAACTTTTTGATCACATCCTCGCCCATCGCTACCTGAAGGAAAAGGATGCATGCAAGCTATTCTCGCAATTGATATCCGGTGTCTGGTACATTCATCAGAAGAAAATCGTACACCGCGACCTCAAACTCGAAAATCTTCTACTGGACCGGAATCGCAATGTTATCATCACTGACTTCGGCTTCGCCAATCGTTTCGAACATCGCGCAGACGACCTGATGCAGACAAGCTGTGGGTCTCCCTGCTACGCTGCGCCCGAGTTGGTCATCTCGGAAGGCCTCTACGTCGGTTCGGCGGTGGACATCTGGTCGTGCGGTGTCATCCTGTACGCTATGCTGGCAGGGTATCTGCCCTTCGATGACGATCCCGACAACCCAGATGGTGACAACATCAATCTGTTGTACAAGTACATTGTCACCACCACGTTAACGTTCCCTCCCCACATTTCGCCGGAAGCCCGCGATCTGTTATCGTTGATGCTGGTCGCAGACCCCGCACGTCGCGCTGATCTGCCCACGATCATGTGTCATCAATGGCTTGCGCCGTATCACCATCTCTTCACGAAGACTGTTGAAGACCTGGAGCGCGCCGCCATGGAGCAGCATCAATTGAAGCGGCTGGCGTACCAGAGGCAGATGAGGCAAGCTGCGCAGGCTCAGGAGCCTCGAGCGATCGCAAGGACTCAAAGCGCCAGGACAGATGGGGCGGCATCTTCGGGCACTGCTGCTGCTACGCCGTCGTCCAGGAGCCGATCACAGAGAGAGGGCCATGCTCACCATCATCAATCAGCGACCCATTCGCAGCCTCAGCCCGAGTACCTCTACGAAACTTCCGTCGATCAGTCAATGTACACATCCTCGCCTGCCTCAAGGAGAGGCTATAACTCGGCTGTGGTCGTGCCAACGTCGTCGCAGCCGGTACTCGATGACGATCCGTTTGCACCCGTACCGTCTCGCGAGACGCCTAGCGTGCAGATATCGCCCGCTGTTGGATCTCCAATGGAGGATGTTGTTTCGAAAGCACCTCTTCAACCCAATAGAAGGCGCGAAGATGATGTGCAGGTGGAAGCTACGCCGGGTAGAAACGGCCACGCGAAGGCGTCGCCGGAAAGCAGCAAGAAGAAGGGAGGTATGAGGCATACGATCCAGGTGGAGTACGGTCAGAATGGTCAAGAGCAGACTTCGCAGCCAGTGTCTGGCTCGAGGAGAGAGCCGACGGATACTGATATGGTCACCGAGGGTCGCTCGCATCACGCCATGCAAGGCAGTCCCGAGCGGACGAGAGCCCGCCGGCCTTCTGCTGAAAGTGCACTCAAACCTCTCCCTGCGGTTCCGCCCACGTCTGGCGCTGCGGGTGCACGCCGAGAGCCTTCACAGCGTAAGATTCCACCCTCTGCGTCGGAGTCGTCCGCTGTGTCGGCGAGCCCGCGGGTCGCAGAAGAGAAGCCCTTGCCCTCTCAGCACGCGCAGCATGGCTCGCAGTCTTCTGGTTCTTCTAGGGTTAGTGGACACAAGCGCGGGATGTCTGTCGACAAGCTTGGGCTCAGCAAGATATTCGGTGCGTCGGATGGTGCCAGCACGAATGGTGCATCGTCGCGCGTGCCTTCGGATACTTCCCAGTACGGTGCCAGCTATGCATCTGAGAACGGAACCACGAAGTCTATGCCTGGTTCCACTCCCCATAAGCGCCCGTCCACTCTACAAGCCGCTCTCTCTCCTCCTGACAAGGAGAAATTGTCTCCTGCTGGCACTGTTGAGTATGCGGATGCCTCTGCGAAGAAGTCCAGGAGGAATACGCTGACAGTGATGGTCGAGCCTATCAGTCGATCCATCAAGAACAGGACGCGCGGTCGTCAACCTCCGGAGACCCCTGTGAACGAAAAGGATATGTCGTTCTCGCAGAGTCCAGCTCCGACGTCGGAGGCTCCTGTTCGCGAGCGACCGGATTTACTTCCTCCGCCTTCTACACCGAGTTACACCAATTCATCCAGGACCAATGTCGGCCTCGGCATGCCTGCCTCTTCTAGCAAAGCTGCGAAGGTCATGCAATGGTTCAGGTCGAAGAGCAGGAACCGGGAATCCTTCGAGGTCAGCGACGATGGGCATGGTGCACCGGTCGCAGGAGACTACCGGGGTCGACCTATGCAACCTCCGAGCTCCTATAGGCCGGCTTCAACCACGCCGATGCAGAATAGCGGCAACGGATCTGGTATGGGTGCTCCTATCTCTGCTACGCCCACTCCGGCGCATCGTAATGAGCGCCGTATCTCCTCTGGCACCGCCGACACGTCAATCAGGATCCCTTGGAGATCAGGTGGAGGTGCTAGCAAGGCAGGTGTTATCCGCATCCACCATGGTGCGGTTGACCAGGACATGGTTACGACTCGACCTCCTCCTGAGGTTATGAAGCATGTCCGCGAGGTTTTGGAGGGTATGGGTATTGAGGTGCAGCAGGAGAGTGAATTCAAGTATAGATGCATCAGGCAGAAGAGGAAGAAGGCTGCCGGTATTGTTGGCCTCAGTACTGCGCCCGGGAGTCCGGGAAGCATGGCAGCCGTCGCTATGCAGGGCACCGCAGCTTCTAATGGCGTAAGTCCATTGTCTTATGCGAGTAGACCGTGGAGTGACCACTTCTATGTTAGGTGGACAAGCGTGGCCTGCCCGTCCCTTCTCATTCTTCCTTCACTGGAAGTGGAATGCTCAGGGGTCTCCTGATGCGCCGTCAGTCTTCGCAAGTATCGTCCATCGGCCATCATTCCGTGGACGAAACAATCGAGTCTCCCAGCGCCACCAACGGCTCGTATGTCCAGGAACCGAGCCCCGTGGGCGAGCCGCTATTCGGAGACCGCACGGAAGACATCGGCGATGAAGTCCGGTTCTCTGTGGAACTCACTCGTATAGACCGTCTCAACGACACCTACAGTTTGGACGTGCGGAGGCTGAAGGGTAACCTTCGGAGCTACAAGTTCCTTTATGATACTCTGAGAGAGTGAGTATTCTCCCCTTTTGCGCTAAATGATTCGCTGACTCGCATCCTGTAGCCGGGCGGCCCTGCAGCACTAGGCTTAGGGTCGACATCGCCGTTCTCGACAAAATCTGACGATCTGGTTTAACGATTCCTACTGTTCTGTTTGCTATCATGCTTCGGATTTCATACCCTAATCCAGTCTCATGAGGTGTTACGTTCATGTTTTCTCTCGGGCCATTTACGAGTCCTCTGGGTGTACGTGGTCTTGTGACCATCCATCCATTCGAGATTATCCCCCCTTTCCTCGTCTGTTATTACTATCATTGTACAGGTCGCTATGTTTCGTTTCGTTTCGCAATCCCATCAGACTTTTTATCTATGCATCTTCTCGTCACGCCATGTATATCCTCTCGAGTCATGACCCAGAACGATGGTTTTTTCGACACAGGCCGGTCGACTGATACAAATCACGATACATTTACATCTCTCCCGCTTTTCTCATACATTCAGCTCTGCTTTCGTGCCCTTCTGGAGCGCGGCCGCGAACTCGGGGTCTTGCAGCGCGGGCTCGACCCACTCCGCGAGGAACTTGTCCACCTGCTCCGGCGCGCGCCCGATGAAGCTCTGCGGATCGAGGAGCGTGTCGAGCTCGGGCTTGATGGGATCGAAGTACGGGTCCTGGCGGACGCGCTCGATGAGGTCGTTCTCGAGCCCGAGCTGCTTCACCTGGTAACCTGCTTCGTGAGAGAGCACCTGGTACGGTTCAGCGTCAACACAAGCCCGAAGCAAGAACACTGAGCGCTAAGCACAGACCCTGATCTTCTCGTGCGCCTCCTGGCGGTCGCCGCCCTTCTTCACGAGCGCCATGATGATGTTCTCGGTCGCCATGAAGGGGAGCTCCTGATGGATGCGGCGCGCGATGACCTTGGGGTAGACGACGAGCCCCTCGGAGACGTTTTGGAGTGTCGTGAGCACGATGTCGGCGGTGAGGAAGGCTTCGGGGAGCGTGATGCGGCGGTTGGCGCTAGGAGGGGGCAACGGTCAGCAGGGAGGGAGAGAAAGGCGGAGGGGAGAGAGGGCAATACCTGTCATCGAGCGTGCGCTCGAACCACTGCACACTCGAGGTCATGAGCGCGTTCTGGTGAAGCACCATGAGGTGGCGCGCGAGCGAGCAGATGCGCTCGGAGCGCATCGGGTTACGCTTGTACGCCATTGCCGAGGAGCCGATTTGTGTGCTCTCGAAGGGCTCCTCGACTTCCTGCGCATACACGGGAGTTAGCGAAAGGGAATTTTGTGGTGAGGACGGCGCGAAAGAGGGGGGGTGCCAGGGGAGGAAGGAGAGTCACCTTGAGGTTAGCGAGCAAACGGAGGTCCGTGGCGATCTTGTGCGCGGTCGCGCCGAGCGAGGCGAGCGGGGCGAGCGCGTCTGCGTCGATCTTTCGCGAGTAGGTCTGCGAGGTGACTGGGTACGCGTAGCCGAAGCCCATCAGCTCCGTCACGCGCTTGTCGAGCGCTTCCACCTGGGGCGTTAGTGAATGTGTGAAGGAGCGTAGGGGCAGAGGGTGCAGTGCAGCAGAGAAGGGATACCCACCTTGTCGTGGTCGCCGTCGAAGAGCGCGAGGAAGGAGGCCTGGGTGCCTGTCGTGCCCTTCACGCCGCGGAAGCCGATGTCGTCGCGCGCGCGCTTGAGGTTGCGTAAGTCCCACAGGAGTTCCTGTTCGCGCAGAATTCAATTGTCACCGTCTTCTCGTCGGATTGAGGGGGAGACAAAACGGACCTGCAGCCAGAGCGTGGCGCGCTTCCCCACCGTAGTGAGCTGCGCGGGCTGGAAGTGCGTGAAGCCGAGCGTGGGGAGAGCACGGTACTCTTTTGCGAAGGCGGCAAAGCGCGAGATGACGACGGCGAGCTTGGAGAGGAGGAGGGTTAGGGCGGTGCGTAGGAAGATGAGGTCTGCGTTGCTGTATATGTCCACATACGTTAGTCGACACGAGCATAGGGGAAAGGGGGAGCTGAGGTACTCAGTGACATAACACGATGTTGCGCCGAGGCTGGAGAGAATTGGTGTTTGTACTTGGGGGAAGGTGAGGAGAACAGGACGAACTGGATGATGCCCGCGGCGGCGGGCGCGACCTTGCCGAAGGTGTGGACGTGCGCCATCACGTCGTGGCGCCGCTTCTTCTCCTCCTCTGCCGCCACCGCGAATTGTTCCGGGTCCAAGTCCTCCACACGGTATAAGCATGAGTGAGTGTAAGAGGGGCAGGGAGGAGGAGCATGCTTACGAGGTTCGCTTGCATCTGCGCGATCGCCTCGTCGGTGATCTGCGTGAGGCCGAGCTCTTTCTCGGCGATGGCGAGGTTCAGCCAGAGTTTCCGCCAGGTGTGGAAGCGGTTCTATGTGGAGATGTTAGGTGCCATGCCTTCTCAGCAGTGTTGAGTCGTACAGCGGGAGAAAAGAGATGGGCCATCTCCTTGCTGGCATACCGGCTGACGGAAAGTGTTCAATTAGGTCATGATGAGAGAATGAATGGAATTGCTCTTGCCTGGATAGTGGCGTCTGATAGGTGTCGAAAGCTTCCATGATGCCTGATGTCCTTTATGCAGCTGGAGGATTTTGGTTATTAGTGTCCAACATTTTGAGCTGGATGACACTTACTTGCGCGATATGTGTCTATTTAAACCAACTCCGGTGGGAAAAGGTAAGCAGAGGCAGAGGCGGCGCAGAATTTGGACAGTGCAGATCTGTCGGACAATTTGGGCACGGCCGGTGATTGGCTCGGATGCAGCCGAGCGTAATTGGCATTTCGATCACTTCCTCCTCCTGGCAGCTCCCACTCAGCTGCACCGCAAGTCTTTCCATACCGGTCTTTGCTCAATATCCTTGAGTGTTTTGACGGGGGAATTGCAATGCCTTTGGAAGGTGAGTTGCTTCCTGGTCTGTGAGGCAGAGAGGGAGAAAGAAGTGTCTTGTGCTCTCGTTGCGAGGTGACGAGACCCAGCGTCAAGTCATGGGTTGTAACGCACATCCCCGTGCTACGTTGGAATGTTCAGTGGGAGATGCGATGGAACGATACCATGAATGTTCTGGGACTGCCGACGATCGAATTGTTGCTCAGATTCGGAATCGTCACTACATCCCGACGAGTCTGCCGTTTGCTGACCGTTTCCCCCAAGACTGGAAAAAGAAAGCCGTCAAAGCAAAGGACGCGACCGTCTCCAAAGCGATCAACACCAAGGACCGCCTCCAAAGCACGCCCTCGGCCAAGACCAACTGGGACTACAGCAACCCGCCTCCACGCCGCCCGCCGCCCGTTCCCGTGAAGACGCGCGATTCCGAGCTCTATGGCCCGCCACCGAGTCGCAGCAACAGCTCCAGGGCAGAAGTAGACGATGCGGTCTCGGCGCCTCCTGCACCCGTGTTATCCACGCGCCCGTCCATCCCGTCTCGCTCGACCCGGCCCTCCCTGCCCACGCGTTCCCCAGAGGAATTGGCTCCCCCGCCTGTTCGTCCCCCGCCAATGCCTGCGCGCAGGAGCACTGCGTCGATTCCAGCGTCGCAACACCACGAGGAGGTTATCGACAAGATCGACTGGGCGAACCTCTCGCCCGAGGATAAAGAGGTGTTCTTTTCCTGGTTGGACGAGTTCTTTTCCCGCTTGACGGGCAGGCATGTCGGACCGACTGCTCACCCCACTTTTGTGTCGTCCAAGGAGAAATTCGCGCATCCGCCTGCCAACGAGCACGCACCTGCACCCGCGCCTGCGTACACATCCGCACCCGCACCCGCGGATAGTCCTGCTCCCAACCGCAGGCTCCCGCCCGCCCTCTCCCCATCGCACGCAAGTGGCCCGGTATGTCTAATTCGGACCAACTAATATTACGCTTCGTACTGACTACTGACATCTCTAACAGCCGCCAATCGTCCACTGGTCCAGGCCCAAACTGCCCTCCTCGCCATCCCCAGCGCCTGTACGTAAGTACGCTTCTTCCCCCTTCTCCGCCCATTGACACCCCTCGCAGTAACCCCCGCCCAACCCCCGCGTCCCACCCAGCACGACCAACCCTGCCTCGCCCGCGACCTAGCGCAGTACTTCCACCCCACCACCCCCTGGGACCACGCATGGTATCTCTCCCCCTCGGCGACGCCGCCCCCGCTCGCGGGCAGCGCCCACATGCTCCTGCGCGCCTCGCGCGTGTACGTGGGGAAGGACGAGACGCTCACCGCGGGCGTGCTCTTCAGCGACCTCAGCATCTGCTGGTTCTCCCTCTCCTTCACACGCGGCGACGCCGACGCCGACCCCAACAGGGCCGGGCGCGCGGCGCGCTACCGCCCGCCGCCGCCGCCGCTCGACCGGGACTCGCTGGTGCGCGCGCATGGCGTGTACGGCGAGGCGGTGGCGGGGTTCGTGGCGCGGTTTACGGGCACGGCGAATATGGCCGCGGAGGCGCTGCGGCAGTTCGAGCGGTTCCCCGGCGTCGAGCCGCCCGTCCCGAGCGTGTACCGCACGCACGGGCACCTCGTCTTCGCCGGGTCCGCGGACACCGGCGTGGGGACGTGGTGCGGGGGCGACACCGCGCTGCGCCGGGGCGATATCATTTCCTGGCGGGACACGCGCCACCACATGGGCCGCGGGTACCTCGCGGGGGATCACACGTCCGTCGTGCTAAGGGAGTGCGCGGTGCAGTGGGACGTGGAAAGGGAGATGAGTCTTTCAAGGCTGGGGACGCTGGAGGTGGTCGAGCAGGGCGGGGTGAGGCGGGAGTTTGATATGGACGGGTTTTTAGAGGGGACGCTGGAGGTGTACCGTCCTGTCGGGGTGGGGTATTTGGGGTTGGAGAGTTTAGATGGGTTGTTGTGTCCCGGGGATGGAATTGAGGTTTGAAGAGGAAGAACGGGCTGGGTGGGTTTGTTCTGGGTATTTACTGGGCGTTTGGGATGATCTACGGGTACGATTGGACTGCATGATTGTATGTACTCTTACATCTCGGACTGCTTTAGAGACATGTGTATTACTCGCGATGAATAGTTGGATGTAGGCACTGCTACCCGAGCAAACTATCAGCCGCCTCGAGCTTAAGAGCCAACTCGTCCGGGTTAGGCTTGGCTGGCACAGCATGAACGAGGATCCTCAGCTCGTCGCGGAGGAAGTTGGCAGTCGTCGGCCCGATAGCAGCTATCCTGGCAGCCCGCTCGTTCGCAGGCGCTGTTGGGCCGTCAACCTGTGGGAGGTGGAAGTATTTCCTGAGTGTGGGGGTGGCGAACTCTGCAGCGGATGGTGCGAAATAGACGATCCACCATCGGGAATCAACTATCATCCCAGCACTCAGCAATGCTGCGCTGCATAGGATATAGAGGAATCACGCACCTGGGAAAGGCTCGATAGCGCTGAGCAAATCACGCTCGAACGTGGTAGATCCCTGCGTGCCGTATACCTGCAGAGTGTGCAGCTCCACGCCGCCCCCTCTCAGGATGTTGGGCAGCGTATCACGATTCTTGTCCCCAGTTAGGTAGAGCAATTTCCTAGATGCACCATCGGGGGGCAGGTCTCGCAGTATAAACCGCGCGAGAGCCTCCGCGGTACCGGATTCCTCGGCGCCCCGTACATCGCGGGGCGCGTAGAGCCCGCCGTAGGCTTTCGAGATATCGAGGAGTGACGACGCGGTGCGGTGCCCGACGACGTAGAAGGGCGTGGCCGCCCAGGACTCAGAAGCTGCCGCTGCTGATCAAGTAGCGAAACACCAGCTCGGTTTTGGAAGACGGTATTACAGTCCAGGGCGAACGCACCACCGACCTGGGAGTTCCGAACAGTCTGAGTCGTGCACCAGCTCTTCGACGACGGTTCGCCAGGCCGCGCAGGAGCGCGCGCTGGTGATGATCACGCCGCTCAGGGCGTGCCGGGCGGGGCCTCCGCGCACGATGCGTTTGAGCTCGGACAGGTGGACGTGGGTGGTTTCGAGGACGGGGACGGAGAGGGCGGCGTACCCCTTCGAGTGCAGCGCGGTTTCGTAGGGGTCGGGGCCGTCGGTGGACGGCGAGCGGAGGAGGACGACGGGGACTGACATGGCAGGAGATCTACAGAAGCTATCAAACAGGGATAAGAGAAGTGTCCTAATCGTGGGAACTCTGACACAGTGGTAACTGACTAGACTCGTTTGCAGACTTGCAAGTGCACTGTGCAGCCATGTCGTCCAAGAAGGAGAAACCGCTGCACTCGCTGATAGCTGGGGCGACCGCTGGTGCAGTGGAGGCGTGAGTTTTAGTGTATAATGCTGCCTTCCATACGCTGACGAATTCCAGCTAACAGCTTCGTGACCTACCCCACCGAATTCGTGAAGACGCGCTCGCAATTCGAGGGCAAGGTGCGATTGTTACACACATGCGAACCGGCGTGAAGGGAGATCCTCATATAAATTCTGATAGAAAGAGGGCATGATTGCCATCATACGCGACACCGTCAAGCGACAAGGCGTCAAGGGACTGTATTCGGGATGCACAGCGCTCATGGCGGGAAACTCCCTGAAGGCGGGTGTGCGGTTCGTCAGCTACGACCAGTTCAAGCATATGCTTGCGGATAAGGAGGTGAGCATCTCCTCCATTTGAAGTCCAGTTTCTAGCGCTCATACTTTGACGCGGGGAGGGTAAAGTAAGCGCACCAAGGAGTCTGCTAGGCAAGTCGGATGGCGTGCTGCACACTGTAAGAATCATTCCGACTCATACCTCCATCTTTCAGCTGGTCTTGGTGCGGGTATGACGGAAGCCATATTGGCCGTTACTCCGTCAGAGACTATCAAGTACGTGCCGCCCTCGTCTCTCGTCGGACAGACATTTATTTCTGTCAGAACGAAGCTCATCGACGATGCGAAGCGCCCCAACCCGCAATACCGCGGCCTCATCCACGGCACGTCACAAATTATCAAGGCAGAGGGTCTATCGGGTATCTACCGCGGCCTCTTCCCCGTCGTAAGGCTGCCCCGCCTTTCTGTAACTAGCAGCTTACTGGCGATATAACACGACTAGATGATGCGCCAGGGCGCCAACTCAGCCGTCCGCTTCACGACGTATACGACACTCCGTCAATACGTCGCGACGCGGATGCCCCCCGGCCAGAGCGTCCCGAGCAGCTTCACCTTCGGGATCGGCGCCGTCGCGGGGCTGGTGACGGTCTACACCACCATGCCGTTGGAGTGCGTATTGGTGCTTCCCTCACTTTCAGGACGGGTTCTGATTACCCTATCCGCGAGACAGCGTGATCAAAACGCGCATGCAGTCGCTGACGGCGCGCCAGCACTACCGCAACTCGTTCCACTGCGCGTACCGGATCTTCACGGAGGAGGGCGTGCTGCGATTCTGGACGGGCACGACACCGCGGTTGGTGCGCTTGATGGTCAGTCTCCCCGCATAATCATGGGTCATATTGTGGTTGCTGACTGTATGCCGTCCTCGCGCGCAGTTGAGTGGAGGAATTGTGTTCACCGTGTACGAAAATATCATCCGTCTGATAGGTGGGCGGGAAGATCCATAGTGCACAGGCCGTTAGGACATAATAGAGTGCATGTTTTTATCATTGCTTAGCAGAGGGGCCGGCGTCCGGTCTGGAGTGTCAGACAGCTCAAGGCAGAGTCCGACGCGCCAATTTCATTGATTGCTACATTAGACAAGTGACAAGGACACAAATACTGGATGGAGACAACATTGGGTCACTATGATACCCCGAAGAGACTACAACACTTACACTGATTAGTTTCGAGCAGTGCATGCGCGTCTATTTCTTGCTGGAGATCTCGGAGTGCTCCTGCTCGAGTTGAGCCTGCATGGACGGATCAGACAGTAGCCCTGCCCGACCAAAGGGTTGTACTCACCAGCTCCTGCCTCTTCTTCTCGATCTTGTACATTTTTAGTTGAAGTAATGATGCCTATGCATATATTGGCGATACCCACCTGCTCCCTGAGCTTCTTCAACTGCTCGGCCTCATGTTGCCTGGCGTACTGATCTGTGGTACTGCCATTAGGCATCATACAAGCAATATAGGCGGGGGAACCGACCTTCATGAGCCCTCTCCTTCTTGCTAAAATGAGGCATACACTCAGTATCAGACACTTCCCGGACGTCCGTCTACTCACCTGAACTCCTTCGATTGCGCGGTGCTGCCCTCGACGCGGCCGGTCGAGTATGCAGCCCTCAGCACCGTCGACGAGAAAGCGGGCAGGCGACGCGGAACAGCGATTCTGGCAAGCATGTCGTCGGATGAGATGTGATGTGTGTATGCAGACTGCAGTCAAGTCTCGGTGGGTGTCTTATATTCGGGTCGAACGCGTCCCGACGCCTCGGCAAGGCCAGGCAAGGTCGTGACGTCGAGCCCGGGCGTGACCATAAACCGTCACGTCACCCCTTCACTTTCTTGCAACGATGAGCGCCGTCCTCAGGCAGGCTGCGACTGCAGTACGTGTTTCATTCCAGCTGAAAGGCCGTGTAATTTCTAACATTGCGCTGCAAAGGCTCGTTCCACCGCCCGGTTCAACGCGCGTGCGTTGTCGACGTCCCCCGTCTCCCGCAAAGGTATGTTGCGCCAGTTGGCATGCAAGCGGATGCCAGTCACCGACGAGATATGGGGCGGTTGTTAGACTTGGTGCAGGAAATTTATGTCAAGGAGATCAAATCATACAAGGCCCCGCCTCTGGTACGTCCTTAGTTTACAGCCGTAGCATCCCTGAAATAACATTCGTCCTCCGGTCAGCCCAAGGACGCCCACGTCGGCCATGTAAAACCCTTCTCTGCACCCAGCGCACCGAAGCCCCCCACAGTCCCCGCAGACCTCGCATCAGAGCTCTCGGCTTACGACGCGCAGGAGCCCGTCAAGGAGGCGTCCAAGGCCCCGGCCGCGGCTGCCTCTACGGAAGAAGTCGGAACTGGTGCAGACGCCTTCCTCGCATTCCTCGAGGCCGATCCTCCCAAGGGAGAGGAGGCACACCACTAGATGGCGTTCAGAAGTTGGTGGTTGTGCAGTATAGTGCTGGTGAATGTTGTCTTGTGACGTCTGGGACCGCTGTCTTGCAATAGATGCAACCTTTTCTAGCCTTCATATCGTTCGCGTCTCTGCTCCCACTGGCATTTGAGAAGTGTCCTGATTATTGCATTTTTCATGCAGTGAAGTCTAATCAACCCATTGCTAATAAAGTTACAATATAAAGCAATGCCAGTGTGGTACCAGTAGATAAAATGCAAGTGCGCCGATATATGCTACAATGCGTCTGAAAGCGGGGAGTGTTGCGATGCGATATTAATATGCGAAAGCGTAGACAGCCATCCTGAATCTATGAGAAGAAGTAGAGGGACTTCTTGATCGTGTTGACGTCGAAAGAGCCTTTCTCCGGGACTGGAGGGATGAGGTCGGTAACATCGATGTAGACCTTCGAGTAGGGGGTCACGCGGTTGCGCCGCTTCACATGCGCAACTTCGAGGGCTTCTTCCAAGTTTTGAGGACCGTTCGACTCCGACGCTTCGACATCGTCGACATCTTCGACCGCGTCTTCATCCTCCTCGCGGGCTTCAGCAGCCTCTGCCGCGATGGCCTTCTCTGACAATTCCAGGATCTCCGGTATTTTGACACCCATTTGCTTGAGTTTCTTAGTGACGCTAGTACCCCTGAGGGAGAGCAGCGGAATTTTGAACCCTTGATAACGGACCATAAGCTGGAAAGAAGCAAGTTAGATTGATGAGGATGATTAAAAGACGCAAAACATACCTCTGCACGGAGCTTCTTCAGTACCTCACCGGTGTGAAGTTCAACGAAAGTCTCTCGGATGAGGGCAGACATGCGATCAATATCGCACGCATGTGTCCAATACGAGTCATGAACCGACGCGAACGTGATGTCTTCGTCTCTGCACCGCAAGGCCGTCTTCATCATGTGGGACGCATCCAGACTGTGGATGAAGTTGGGAGGGAACGCCGAGGCCTGCTTCATCGAGTTCACCTCCGACGGGGAGTTGGGGTCGGAGATATAGACGGACTGCAGAGAAGTCATGATCTGCTTCCTCTTCGTCTTCCTGTACGGCTGGACGATAGGCAGATTCATCGGCGACGTCCAGATCATGCTGGACATCTGCTCTTTCTTGACCCGGTTACCCTGCTTCTTCTGCCCGCTCTTCGTAATCAGGTCCTTCGAGGCGTCTTCGATGCGGTTGGGTGGGATGGACTTCGTAATGAGGCGAGCGACCATATTGAGCCAGACCTGGATGTCCTTCGCGCCTGAAAACAGATCTCCGATAGCACTGAGGACTTTCTTCGCGAGGTATGCAGAAGCCGGCCAGCATTCTTCCTCAGGCAATTCACCCTTGTCCTTCAGCTGCTTCTCGATCTGCTCTCTGGCGCCAACGAAAGTGACGCCGTACACAGTGGTCATGACTGTTTGCTTTACGACCTTCCGAGATACCTTGCCAGCGAGCAGGGCAGCGTACTTCTCAGTGTCCTTTTCCTCCTGGAGCGATTTCTCCACCATGTCCGCGACGTAGGTGTACACATCGGAAGGCCGATCCGTGACATCCAAGTTGACTTGTTTCGCACCCTTCTCGTCACCTCCGAGAGCAGCATAATGTTGCAGACCGTTGCAAGTCCCGTCCTGGTGCACTGGCAGAGATGATTCGAAGGCTAGCGGGTCTCCGGATTCAAGGGCGGCGCGCAACTCCATACAGGCCGCCAGACACTGCCACGGGTCGTCAGCCTTTGTCCACCACCTACGGCCCTCTAGCGGTCTCTCAGCGGAGTCGTAAATGTCGTCCAGGTGTTGCTCTGTAAATATTGCACGATCGTCGAAGTTGCCCTTGTCATAACCGTACAAGTTCGCTAAGTGAATCTTGAGCCATCGCAGCCCGCGCGCACCAAGAGGCTTCGCTTCGCCGAACTTGAGCAGCCCACGACTCAAGTCGTCGCCGATGTGACTCAGGTGAGGAGGCATAGGGTACGCGCGACCGCGGAAGTCGATGTTGTGAGGGAAGTAGAACGTATCTCCAAGGAAGGTGCGCGCGATCTCGATCCTGTAGTTCACACTGCACCGCTCCGAATGATTGTTGGCCTTCGCCTGGTGATACCCTCGGACGCGAGTCAGGTACACATTCCTTGCCTTAGGGTTCGTCTCCCAATCCGAGGGTTTCTCGGGCTCGGGTTGATCATAGGTAGCGGCAGGGATCTTCCCGAACCTCTCACCAGAGTTCCATACCTTGAGCACGACATCGAACACGGGCCTGTTGACTACCCAGGGAGTCGATCCCAGCACGTCCAGGGCCGCGAAAATCAGCTCGATCTTCCCTTGCTTAGCCGCTTCCCGGAGGTGGATTTCCTGCTCCTGGGACTCCTTGAAGCGCATGGCTTTGGCTAAGGTCGGTTGCAAATTAGTTACGGGTAGTTATGACTGAAATCGAAGGTAGACTCACACTTGATGTGGAAGTAACCCCCGTCATTGTAATCCAACCAAGGCTTGGGCTTCACAAGCATGGGCAAACTGCGTGGTGGAACCGTATCCCTGATGTCATCTCCGGCAAGTCGCTCGGCGACCACAGAGTTCAGCTTGATAACACCCAACTTGTGCCCATGCACGTATTCATAGGAATGGAAGAACGCAGGCTGCTCTTCCGAACTGTCAAAGGTAAGCAGACAGTGAGTTAAAAGACGACCATGCGACACCGACAGATCAACTTACACTTCCTGTCCAGTGGCTTTGTCTGACGCCGTCCGTGTCACAGTAGCGACGTCGATCAAGTTATCCACCAAGAAGCTTCCCACCCGCACCCTCAGCATTGCGGGCCACTCCGCCGTCCATTCCTCCATATCCTCCATATACTTCCTCGCCGCCACCCGACGCGCATACAGATCCTGGTACCCCTGGCCTGTGAAGAACGCTACCTGCCCAGGACGTAGTGTATGCTGCGGCACCGAGATGTTATTCTTCTTCCTTGTCTCTGCGTGGTACTCGTTCTCCACCGCGCCGCCGACGGTCAGCAGCGCCCGGGCGGTCTTCATCCCGTCAGTGACGCCACCCGTCCCGCTCATCCGCATGAGCTCCAGGATTGTGATCAGCGAGAGCTTCTCTGGCTTGAGCAGCTGCAGAAACGGGCCCAGCCACTGCTTCTCGTTCGAGCGCTTGTCCGACATCTTCTCGCGCTCGTGCTCAATGAGCGCGTTGATCTCTGTCTGCAGCCGCTCCTGGAGCTTCTGGTGCCACTCCCACATCCACGCCTGCAGTCCATGCCGTGTCAGCGCCATGTCCTTGATGCCCAATTCCGCGAGCATCTCCGCCTGCCGCGCAAGACGCTCACGCGCAACGTCTATCGCGGAGTCTTCGAGCACCTTCTGTCGCGTACTAATATCCTCAGGCAAGATCTGCCGCGCGAGCTTGACCCGCGCAAGGTGTTTGCGCAGGAGGTCGAGGTTGAAAGGCACTTCCATTTGCTCGGTCGTGGAAGGCGACACTTCGTCAGATTCCTCAGCGGCAGCGTCGACCTTCCGTCGCATCACTGGCATGGCCTCTGGAACGCCTGCGAATGGGTCAGGGGAGGTAGCGACTGTCTCGGCCTCCCGCAGCTCGGAAATGACCCGCTGTCTGTTCTGTTCTACTGCTGCAGTGAGTACTAGCTGGGTAATTTTCTTAGCCTCTTCGGAGGACTGGATCGCTGGGTCGGATACCACTGCAAGCGCCGAGATATTATGATCGTCTAACATAGCGACTAGAGCAGAAGGAGAGGGGAGTTGTAGAAACGATGATGATGATAGTTCTGTGCCGAATCTATTACAATCGACTGAGTATCACGGCGACTGTTAGGTTGCACACGACTCACCGTGACCAAGCGAGCAACATGGGAGCGTAAGATCCCGCTGTGGATCGTACCCTATCCTTCCCCTCCTGCATATCACTAAAGAGCTGTATAGCATCGCCCAACCACTTATCCCGTTCCTCAGCATTTGTGGTGGCCATGTTGACATACGCATTGAGGAAAGCATTGAATAAGCGGGGCTCAAGGACCGGGTCGCCTCGCCGCTGCTCTCGCAGCAGGTGGAATATCTTTTGTGCCCTCGGCAGCGCGCCAATCTTGAGACATGCATCCATGACCGCTAACGAATCCTGCGTGGGCGAATCCGTGAAGTAGAAGTCATTGATGGGAGAGCGCGGAGCATCGTCGGGGAGGGGCGTCGGAAGGATCGTGTATTGCGAGCTCCGGCTCTTGAAGCCTTGCAATTCAGAAGAGAAGGAATTCTCTGGTCGCGGAGGCAGGAATGCTGGATAGCTCTCATTTGGCACCTGCGCCGTTGCGAGGGCCGGAGCGTCCACTCTTTTTGAAGGAGACGAGTAGAACCGAGCAGGACGGGGCAGGCATTGTCGAGAGTACGGCAGCAAAGTCGTCTCTAGCCTGCGAGCAGTCCTGGGTATCATCGTCGTCGTAGAGGTCAAGGTAAAGACTGCCAGACAAGCTGCAGCTATTTTTCTGTATTCCAAACCGGGATATACTTAAGCGCCCGGCAATATTACGAACCGGCAAAGTCCGGGTGTTGTCTTTTCCTCAGTTGACATTGAGTTGACAGCAGTCCTTCATGATCAGTTCTGAGTTCATTCGACTCAAATTTCATCTGCGAGGCCCGTGATCTTTCAGTGCTGACTGACCAGGTGAACGGCAACAGTCTACATAGATGATGGGAATAAAGATGCTCTCGTCGCAGCTCGATTCCTCGACGACCAGGTAGAGGAACTTTGAGCTGTTGGAAGCGCCTGAAACGTGCCACAGAAAACCTTACCAGACGACTTGGAACAGCTGGCGGGAGATATGAGCATAGTGGTGAGCTTACAGCTTAAGCAGGAAAGATTGGAATCCTTTTTAGACTTGTTCCTTTACTTGAGGGTTCACCTATCTGATCAGCCAAAACATACGAACTCATGCCGAGGAAAGGAGTGTGACATGCGACTCTGTTCTCCTCAGATTTCCTTACAAACCCTGACCCTGACGGGCTCTGTAGCTAACGTATGCAGACGATATGTAAGTCGGATCAATACAGATATTCAGTGTTCAAGCAAAGCGGACGTACCAGCAACCGCAATGTCAGTCATGTAAGCAGCCATCTCCCAGCCCTCGTCTCTCATCTTCTCTTACCTCCGCATATCCATCCGCCAATCAACCTCTCCGCACTCAAGGCAGCCCTCTCCTGACTCAAGAGAATCTGCAGCGCGGCAACGCATCTTCTTTGAGGACCAAGCCGATTTGATGTGCAATATCTTCTGCCTCGTACTCCGGCGACGGTTTGTAGAACAGTAAGCCCACGACCGCTACGTGCGGCGAAGCCAGCTTTGCCCAATACCGCACGAACTTGTGTTTCCTCGTATCGACGACTTTCAGGCCAGTGGCTTTGTACGTCCGTATATCAGCGAAGGTAGGGAAAGCACTCGGCAGCCTCAAGGAGAACGGGAGTGCCTGGGGGCAGCTGGCGATAATCACTTCAAAATCCGCATGCCAGGGCAGAAGGTCCGTCTTCCTGTGCTCCTCCCGCCTGCGGACCTCCGTAATGGGAATCGGCAATCGCTCAAGGTAAGGACGAATGTTCGTAGTTATATCATCCGCGAGGATAGTCGCGATGAAATCCGCAATCCAATGGGACGGAAAACCAACTTTCTGCAGATGAACCAGCAGGCCTACGAATGCGCCGAGATTGTTCGGGAGGTTGATACGACGAGGCATATCGAGCGGGATACCGTTCGCCAACGTACAGAAGAGAACCCAGGTCAACCAAATAATCAGTTCCTCTCGCCTGGCGAGCTTGTCGAGGGGTAGAGGGTACTGCAGGGGAGCCATCCGCACGACGTCCGTCAGAGGACCGGTCCCCACAAATCGGCAGCCCAGGAAGCGGGGGACATCGCGGGGATGTAGAAGAGTGTAACTATAGTAGGATGTTAGATAATTGGATGTGTTGGCTCAGGCGAACCTACTTGTGGCGATAGACCTAAAAGCAATCCCGTTGAGCAAGCAGTGGAACGCCACGAAAGCTTCCGGGATGTTTTCCAAGCTAGGGAGAGTTCATATAGCTGCATTCAGGATCCCACCTGTGTAGTCTCTGCTTTGCCGAACTTTCAATCAGCGCGATGGGTCTCCGAAAGGGCTCTAGTCAAACCTACGGGACATTACTGAGCCACATCCTCGAGTACGCCCTCGGGAAGTGAGTCGGCCGGTCCTCCATTCGCCCAGCAGTAAGCTTCGGGAGGTCAGTGATCACCTCGCCAATGCAAGTCATTGCATGATCTCGATCGTAATTTTGTCGCCCATATCCTTCAGTGCATCTACCACCCCATCGAAGAACCTCGAGACATGGTAAACAACGGAGATTCAGTACCGACGTCTCTCGGCTTGAATCTCAGGTAGTCTCTGTTGAAGGCCGCGAATTGGAGCGGAGTGCCGAAGGGGTTGGAGGGCAGGGCCGGGTAGCCATCCATCTCGAGAGTGCTGCACTCTATCGCGTAGCGGTCCTGCGAGGTGCATGTTCGCATGCGAATCAGAGATTTGCCCTCGGCGTGAACATGATCTCTGCGCATATACTCACGAAGAGAGTTGGGTTCGGCTTATAGTGCTCTTTCACGTAGTCCCGAGCCCGATGCCACGCCTAAGCACGCTTAATTAGTACTTGACCTGACAACAGCGCAATGACGATGACTCACCCCGGTCCCCGGAGGAGGCTGGACACCAGGAGGGGGCTCACGGATATAAGATCCGAGATACTTGTCCCCCAGCGTCTGGGGCGGACACAGTCCGCGACCCACATGTACCACCTCCCCTCGAACTCGAACCAGCCTCGATGATCGGGGCAGCGTAGCGGCCATCCTCCTGGCCGATCGCGGCTCTCTCGGTCATTATTGGGTCCGGCTCAAAGTCGTGCATCGGCAGGAGCGTCGGGGTGGACTTGGCGAGCGGCTGGGACCAGTATTCGAGCGCAAGAGGACCCTAGGGGTGCTCAACAACTGATTGTTCGGATCGATCGTTTGTGCAGGAAATCCAAAACAAGCTCACTGCCAAATCCGCTGCGCAACAAAGATGGACTCAATGAACTGCATTTGCCGTCCCTTTTCCAGCCGCTTGCAGATCGTTAGGCCATCACTTCAGAGAATCACATATAGTCGGAGTGTGTCGGACATGGTGCCAGGGACGTCCCAGGAATTAAAAGAAGTCCAAATGGTCTGATATTGGGGTCCTGCGGACTTGAATTCACCTCTCCGACATGGTCCGACTGTAAATGATTTTCAAGAAACGGGCCCATCGAACTGCAAACGGCTGTCAAACCCCACTTACCGTGAGATTGTATGCGCGAGCGACCGCGAACGATATGGGTGCTTTGAATAATTCCCGTCGGTCACTTTACTTTTGCTCGTCGTTTTTGGACGACGTCTGACCGTTTTGGGTTGCTGCACAAATGATCCAAACGATTAATTATTGAGCACCCCTACTCACCGAAAAGATCTGGTACATATGTTCATGCCAAGACGCCTCATACGTCAGTCAATCATGAACTGCTGCCATTGGCTCGGCAATACAGTCGTTTGCATATGAAACCGAAAATCGGGTTTCCGTGAGCATTGTTTGTTCGAGCCAAATATACCCATATGCAGTAATGCGAGATGGCTTCTTGTGACTGTGTGACTCTGTAGACTGCAGCCCGCCCTCAGGCTGACAAACTGCATGTGCTGTGTAGTCTGTTGTAGACTCGATCTCGTAGCTCATCAAGGTAGATAGCAGGCTCTCCCTCAATAACTGATCGCACGAAGTTCAATCCTGCATGTCCAGAGTGCGCGGCCGGCCTCGAGGTCTAGCATTCGGGTTGATGACTGTGCCGTATTCCGTGTAGAGTCGGAGAACTTCGAAGACTGTGCTTATGCTGCATCCTGCAAGCTCAGAAATCACTCAGAGTGTCTTGTTTTGCTCATGGCGCCAGACAATGATACGTTCACGTAGTTGTCGAGTGAGGTGAACCATGGTACCAGCCAGTCGATACTTCAAGTTCGAGACGTCGATGAATGCGATCTGACAGTCACGCAGTCACAAGAAGCCATCTCGCATTACTGCATATGGGTATATTTGGCTCGAACAAACAATGCTCACGGAAACCCGATTTTCGGTTTCATATGCAAACGACTGTAAGCGGACGTTGCGTCTCGCAGTGGTGTGGCACCTACCCTGTTTGGCATGCCATCAGCGATTGAGAGAGTCAGAGCCGCAAGCTGTATTCGGTTCTTTTCGGTTTCGACAGAATCACCTTCCCTAACCTTTTTCATCAAACGCGCATATAGCAAAGAACATCACAATTACTGGTACAACTGAATGCATCGCGACATGAATTCACACATGGTCAAACCATGCACGAATGCCCGGGCACCAAGTAGAATGTCCTTCAATGATAGATCTTTCTACGTACTTCGTCATGCTTTGTCCCTCGAGCCCTGAGCAGAATAAACCAGTCAATTCGTTACCAAATGGTTCAGATCGTGCCCGACGTCTCCAGTGGAGTCTCCTCATAGCGAGGCAGAGGCTCGTGGATGCTACTGGCTTTGGAGTCGCCTGAGGACAACCTCTGGAGATCTACGTAGACGGTAAATCAGCGGGAGAACATATGAAGCACGTTCGATCTAGCTCGACACTTACCAGCTTTGTCCTCGAATTCTGCCATTTGGGCCTTTTCAGCGACTTTACTGTCATCATATTCTGGGAGATATCCCTGCTCCGAGTCGACCTTGAAGTCACCGCCCTTAAAGTCCGCAGCGGGGTGCAGCACAATGGCGTGGGCAACCGAGGTTGAGGGACCCGCGTAGACCGTCTGTGGCGGGGTGAGCGCCCTCGCCGACTCGGACTGCGCTCGAGCCTTAGCCTTCCGGCTCACATACCATGCCCTCGAGAACAGCACAGTGGCCGCCATCATCATGAGCCACGCAAGCATCACGACCCATGGCGTGGCGCCCTGGTGAGCGTGGACCGTCGCGCTCTGCCACTGCGCCGCGTGCTTCTTCGCCTCCTTGACCATGAGGAAATCATAGATCATTGCGACAAGGAGGAATACCGACGCAAGCGCAGCGGCGACGGCATTGAACGGCGCCGCCGCCAGCCCGAAGCAGGAGCCGCGCAGGCCGGCGGCGAACCCGACAAGCGCGGGGATGGGCGCGAGGGCCATGGCGAGGACGTGGAAGACGCCCAGGACGAACATCATGTGCTGGGGAATAATATTGAAGTCACTGGCCCCCCTGCTTATGTCGCCGTCCACGAGCTCCGAATTCTCTGAAGGGGGCAGCACGGTCAATACGGGCGACTAGGCCTGGGTTAATGGACGTACTCAAGTTGAACCCCACCATGGGGCCCTCGCAGAATTTGTAGTGGTGCCAGTTAGTGAAGTTCCTGCAGTATCCCAGGATGTTTATCCAGCCGTGCCCATGGACGTCGGGGTAGACTGCATCTTGGGGGTAGTCCACATTGAGCTTGACGATGTACATGCTCTTGTCGCCGTTGGGGGTCTCGAAGCACACCCCGTACAGGAGGGCCGCGGAGACCATGGCCAAGAGCCATGCCGGCCAAGTATGCTTGAAGAAGTCGCGGGCAGCCATGCTCGAGCTCCTACGCTGAGTCTGGAGAATCGTCAAGCCAAATACAATAGTAGTGTGGCCGGCCTGAGGGCGCACAGGCTTGCGCGGCTTATAACTTGCAGGCAATTACGGTAGCGGTATACATACCCGCCTTGGGAGTTGCGAGCGCCCTTCGGGATTCGGATGTATGTCATACCTTACATATATAGCCTGGAAGAGAAGCGGATAAGGCTGCAGGCCGGGGACCTGCAGGCGGACGGGGCTGTGAATCAGGTGCAGCTCGAGGCATCGACGCACAAATGGGCCGGTGATGGCGTGCCGTGTTGCGACCGCAACTCACGTATGAATCCTGTCATGCATCCGCACAACATTCGAAGGGGAGACGTTATCCCAGGTTGACAAAGGTAGGTGTAATCAGGTCCTCGTAAGGTCCGGAAGATGTCGGGTGATCCGAGCTCCCAGGGTCGGGAGCCATGCCACTATGCTTACCATCTGTCCTGCCCGTCTTCTGTTCTCCGTCTTCTGTCTAGCCATTCGAAATAAGATATTAGGACGTGGTTGTACATCATATCTTGCAAGACCCTCAGGGTATACATACACATTAATGAACAGAACAGAAACTCGATACACCTCCGTAATCCTAACCCTGGCTCACTCGTACAACTACCCAACCTTCCCCTTCTCCTCGGCTGGAACGACGGGCTCCACAGCATTGACCGCCTCATACCACTGCATGACCGAGCCAATCAGGAATGCCCAGCTGCCCCAGAACGTCGACAGCGCGCTCTGGTACTGCCGCCAGTGTTTCGCGGAGTACCCGAAGATGCCGCAGAGCGTGAAGCCCATTGCGCCTATGAAATTCCAGACTGTATCATGGGAGGAACGTCAGTGGGCCAAGCGTACGAAATGGGGGGCCCAGCACGCACATCCGATTTGCCAGCCCAGGTCACTGACGTTGGGGCGATACCACCTGGTCTGCGTTTCTAACATGTAAAGCACGCTGCAAAGAGAGTTGATCGATACATGAAATCATGAATGAAGACTAGGGAGTCTGTCACGCACGAGCTGATAATAAAGCCGCTGCCGCCGACAACCTGCGGGGTCCAAAACACGCCATTCAGCAACGGTGTGCTACTCACTATCGCGTCCTGGATCTCGGGTAGCGCTGTGAATCTGTATTATCACCACCCATAAGTGTACCGACATGACGAAAAGCACCACGACAGCCTACCCGCTGATCCAGAAGATGGTCGCGGCGCACAGCTGCGCAAAGCCCGCGAGAAACCCCAGTTCGCGCCAGTATTTCGAGTCAGTCGTCCACCATATCCACTTCCTCTGCCCCGGAGGGGCTGGCAGCGTCGTGGACGATCCGTCTCTGCTGCCTTGCTCTAGTTCAGCGCAGTCGTTATACGTTCCGGTATTCTCGACATGCAGCGGGTGGTGTTGCAGCAGTCGTTCGATCCCCCAGCCGAAGTACACTGTGTTAGACCTGCGTCGAGAATCAAATCAGTATGGAATAATAGTCCTCTTGCGCGAGGATAGCACTCACCTGTTCCACGCTTCCCATATCAGTAAGACTGACGCCATGGTGAATATTGTCGCGCCTACCCAGGCGGTCCATCCCCCGGATACAGGGTTAGGTTCGATCGTGGTGTAGAGGTAGGGTAGGTAGACGACGAAGCCGTTCACACACCACACGACGCTTCCGAGGGTGAAGAGCTGACGTTCTTCAGGCGTCAGGAGATGATCAGTCGGCATGCCTATGCTCACGCACAACTGCTATCCACCTAACGTAATATAACTTCAAATTTGGTCATTGGATCACCTTATGCAGAACGACGCACCAGCTGATATTCCAGTATTCCAGGACCAGCATCCTACCGAGCTTCCTCCATCCCATTCTCCTCCTATCAGGTTTCGAGCTCTTAGGTGCGTATTGCTGGTGCCTCCCTTTGCGATGATCCCTCGCGCGCCACTTATAATGCTGATTTTCTTTCCCTGGTGTCCTAGTATCGACGAGTCTTGCGTGCGTCGCCTTCAAGAACGGCAGCGCGCTGCGTTCAGATGCTGGTACAAGCTTCACGGCTGGGTGAAGGTCGTGAGGGAACTCAGCCGCCCGTTCTGTCTTGCTGCTCGTCATGGCGGTCGCAAGGGAGTATCAAAGATGGCGGACAAGAATACACCTTCAGCTACGATATCCATGTCGATGATGTCTGCCAGGAACAAACTCGTGCGGCTGGGAGGTTGTGCTATTTTTAGCAGCTGGAGAGGTGGCGGTGCGATCAACCTTGTAATGGCCTCGCTCGGTGCCGGCAGTCTTTGGTCCTTGTTTAGTCCTCTATCACAATAAAGTAAGACAGAAGCCCAGCGCGGATGTAGTGTGGCAGCAGTGTGGCGTTCTTTTTGTGAAATGAAGAAGACATGATACTCCCTGCCTGATTCAGAGACCGGGTATAAGAGCGGCTCTGAAGCACTTTGCACCCAATTCTTGAAAACCATGGCCACGATTGATTCACCGGCCGCGGAACGAGCGAAAGCAGACGGTAATGGATGTTCAAGATAGTACTTTTTATTCAGTCCGTAATCTTCCTGCAAGACATCGGCGAGCTGACTCATTCTCTTGCTCAGCGCGCAAGAGCGGCACGAAGAGGTCGACATATAATATTTACATGGAGAATTGTCATATGATACTGACCTCGAATCTATAGGCAGAGAAGATCGATCCGAAATGTCCCATATACCCATTCAACTTAGCCTGGGCATTGTACGAGCAGGGCAAATACAAGGAGTGCCTCGCTGCGATCGCTCGATCTTGGGCTCTCATCTACGATACGACCAAGAACGAGGTCCGGCCTCAAAACCTGGATATGTGTCTCCGACTCCGTGCGAGATACGCGAAAGCTCCATGCCAGGGTGTCACGAATGGCAGCATCTCTCGGGACCAGGTTGATGGAACGTCGTCGCGCAGCTGAAGGGGCTGGCGAAGAGACACCCAGACTCGCTAGCCGCGACTAACTGCAGGCAATATGATGTCATTTACCAGCAACTGCGAGAGGATCCGACCCTGCCAAGACCGCGGAAGGTTCATGGATTTGCCCATCTTCAAGAAATGCCCGTAAGCCAGCCTTCTGGGGTGCCGGCTATGTTGGAACATTGGATCTGATTTTCCATCTCAGCGATCCCACTCTGGAATATTACAAGGTCAGACCACCACCTCTGCATCTCATCAACTTTGGTCACTACCTACAGATCGGCAATGATTCTATAAGTCCCTCCTTGAAGGATGGGACAAGCACTCAAATGGGCGCATTGATCTCCAACCGAAACCCTCTCTGTCCTTCTTATTCGGGGGCGTCGGCGACGGTAGGTATTGCCAAGAGGCCCGTCCTTGCGAGCAACTCTAATGCCTATGACAGCTCGCCATGCGTATGGGACCTTCATCGACATCCATCGCCAATTCAGGAAGTTAGATCCTTCCAAGAAGGCGGATGTGCGCATTCATCTGACACTTTTGGACATACACCCTGCGGTACTCGCGAGGGGCCTGTTAATCCTGAGCTTGCCTCACAAATTGACCGATGAGGGTCTGCACAAGACTGAAAGGCTGGAGATCCGAGCCACGGTCTTCCATGCCTTCTGCGGATATGTCATGCCAGGGCCTTGTCATGACATGTAGGTGGGCCTCTGTCCGCGTGCCATCACAGAGCTCTGAGGCTGCTGCGCGATTAGACTCTTACAGGCCGTCAACGAGCCCATCAGGAGCCTCCAACAAGACCTCCAGGCTCTCCCAGCTTACATACACATCGTACAATCGAGCCTCTCGCCCAACCTAGGTGCTACCGCCAATGTCGATTCAAAATTTCAACCCCAGAATCTTCGTTTCCCTACGTGTATCACCCGTCATAACAAGTCAATAGCCCAAACAATTTGTCCCGCACGAACGCCTGCGTCCCCGCATCCACGTCCGCCTTCGTGTTCGCGTCAAACACGCTCACGCTCGCATAACACCCCTCACCCCTCACCACACCTGTCTCCTGCGGTAGGTGCACGCTCCCGCACTGAAATACGTCCGTCGCATCCGCGTCCTCCGTGATCCTGGTCAGCACGAACTTGTAGTCGTCGACACTGGTGCAGTTGGTGATCGACGGGTAGTTCACGTTAACGGAGATCCCAGTTGGGAGGATGGTGCCGGGCAGCGCGAGAAGGGCGCGCGTGAATTTGACTGTGAGCTGGGAGTATATTTCGGCCGCCTGGGTGTATTGTGAGGTTGGCTCTGACTCGAGGGTCGTGTAGGATATTTGCTGGAGAGTGTCGCCGGAGAAGGCTACCGAGGGAATGCCTTCCTTGGCTGCCTCACATGCTGCGCCGCTGATAGAAGTTACGAATGTGAAGATAGGTATACGCCGTGCAAAGGGAAACTGGCTCACACTGTGCCCGAGCCGGTCACGGCAGATCCAAGGTTATCTGGAGAATTTGATTAGCTTGACTTTTACCACGGGGGCCAACTGGGCTCACTTCCAACATTGGGGCCGCTGACGACAAATTCGGGCTTCGCCCCGAAGAACTTAGGTGCTAGCGTCTGGATGCCATAGCGGATTGAGTCGACGCTGCGAATATGCTAAGGAGAGAACATGGTAGAGTACAGGGTCAGTCTTACGGGTACGCATTGACGTAGTTCAATCGCGCTAATCGAGGTATAGATTGAAAGCATATGAATTGAAGACTGATTAGACGCACGGTCACTAGCGTTAAATCCTTCCGGAGGTGAACCGACCGCGCAAGTATCGTACTCGCACGTAATGTTCAGCACCGTCGGAGCAGCCGTCGTTGAACCGGTCCCAGACTCGTTCTGGGAGGGGCAAGAAAGCACGACCTACGAAACATTTCGATCGTCAGATCTAAAGCGAAGTAACGCGTCGAATCACATCGTATCCTGCGGCCTTGAGAGCTTCATTTTGCGCGCGGATCATGGCTACAGCCCAGCCATCGTCGTTGGTGAGCACGACGTTGTAGAAGGGCCACCTCGCATTCGTAGACACCGCGAACGCAGCTAGACAGCTGGCGAGAGTGGAGAACCGCATCGCAGTCGCCTACCTTGCAGGGCCTGGTGAATGCCTTTTATGAGCTTCTGTTCGGATATAAATGTCCAGAGGTTACATTGTGCTCCACCACTTCTGGGACGCACGTTCGCGAATCTAACTAGGCAAGCCTGAGGGTCCTTGCTTCCATTGTGTATAGTTTGAGGATGGCGGCCCGGGGTGGGTCCCAACTTGAAGGGGAATCCTTGTGGCGCCCAAGTCCTTATAAATACTCCCCGTGGGGGCTTCTTGGGCCTACCCTGGGACATGATAAGGGCACACTGTTGGAACTTACATAGATTCTCGACTCTGTAGCCACATCCGCAAACATGTACAACAAATATTGCGCCTGCATATGCGTGTATCAATTCGTTCGTTCAATCTTCGTCTGATTCTCTGCGCTGCTGCGACAATACACTGTGCCTTCAGCATGTACAAGATTTGCATACCAGAGCCTAGCCGTTGTAGCAAGGACAGCCTGTACGTCAAGCTTAGCCGTCACGGCGGGGAATGCTCCCGGCGTCACGCCTCTGGCAAGAGGTAGTACTCGCAGTCCGCAGGGAATTATTATTGGAGAGCGGTGACTGCTTTGTCCGGTAGCGCTAGAGTTGTTCCTCTGTGACGTGTAAAGAGAAATTTCATAAGACATTACCGCTGAGGGGAGTCAACAAGGAGGTGACAGTCCATGTCTCTGCACATGTGACATGCATACACTAGTACCAGGGATTGAACCAAGCGATGTGCCAATATCCAGCCAGGCACATTAATATTCCCACATCTTACTGACACTTAGTCTTTTGACGCAAGTGAAACGATAAGGTGCAACTCCGCTCCCTTATGTTCTTCTCCATCTACAAGGGGGGACGTCAAATTGTCTCCCCACTGGCGGACCCGCTGCTTGGGATGCTGAGGTCGAAGATCGAAACGGTCAATTAGTTCTACGATGAAGCTTTGCATCTTCACCATGCTTTTTCGAAAATTAGCAGACTTCGACTATCTAGCATATTTGAATACATGACTCACGCAAATCGCCAGCCAAGGCACGCCCTGGATCCGCTTGAGAAAGACAACCTACATGGAAACGAACTTCAGTGTCTTCACACAAGACGGGAAAATGGCCTACAAATTTCCAACCACTCCGACGGAACCGCTTTGTTTGGTCGCCGCTCCCCCTTCCAACCATCTGTCAGGGTTAAAGACATCTCCATCCTCACCCCATATAGATTTGTCCCTGTAAATGCACGAAGTGAGCGATACGCCGCTGCTCATAGAGATCGCCCACCGATTATAACTGCCAATCGCCACGATTATCTCCGCGCCTGCTGGAACATGAATCTCCCGAACAGTTTGTCCATCCACAGTCTCGATATCCCTGGACAACGGTAATACAGTATCTTTACTCGCAACACGAGATGTCTGAAATACTATAGGATATAAGCGCAAAGTTTCCTATTGAATGAGGAGCCCGTCAGTCCGACCAAACAAAGCAGACTCCGGAATTCAGTCATAGTAACGCACCTTGAGAAATGCTTGGAGGAACACCATGTTCTCAATGTCGTTCAGCTGCAATTGATGTTCGCCGCGCGCACGGCCAGCAGACTGTGCCTGCCTTATCTCGTCGCGTATCCGGCTTTGCGCATCCACGTGACTCGCGAGCAGCCAAAGGACCCACGTCAACGTGCTGGCGGTGGTATCATGTCCAGCCACGAATATGGTACTGGAACCCTGGTTAAATACAACAGCAAAGGTGTCATACATATCAGACGTACCTCATTTGCGCCAAAATTTCTTCCTCAGTCATACGGCGTTCAGGCTGCATTGACTCGTTCGCTTTGACTGTGAGCAACACACAGTCGCCATAAGGAATGCGGCCCTAAGGGATCGGGCTGAAGCCTCACCGAGCAAACTGAAAACATCTCGCTTGCCTTTGCCCACTCGGAGTTCTTCCATCTTCTGCGACAGTAGTTCACGGGCTACTCTATCCGCTCGCTTCTTATGCTCTTGCAGAATGACGACCTGCTTGAGCGGCAGGATATTGAAGACAGGCGAGATAAGCGAGGCAGGGATGAAGTCTAGGACGGCATTCACTAGCCGTCTACTCGCTGGAGTGGATTCGGCACTGCGAGCGTCATTAGACACTCTGAATCTGGTACTGCCTTTCACTCACTTAAAGTTCTTATAGACCTCCCCGAGCTCATTTTCTTGGTTGTCCATCAATCCTAACCGCATCTCAAAGGCAGCTAGTGAAGTCACTCAGTGGTCGGCGACAACGACGGCCAGCATTATTAACTCACCCTCGCTAATGGCATCTAGCGTAGCACGACTCAACCAATCGTGGACGTCGATGACCGCACCATCGTTATCCGAACAGTCTTCGATGATTTCTTGCCATTTATTACCCAGCTGCAATTGAGTCCTTGGCATAACGCCTCGTGCAGTATCTGAAGTTAAGCATACGTACCGTCTCGCCCACAGATCTGAACACCGGGAAAAGTGCCCTCGCTTCAGCGTAACCGAAGGCAGGCAACATGACCTTTCTGTGTCTTTTATGGGTATCTCCTGATGAATGGACATTCATCAGAAGGCCTCCTTGTGACGAGTGCGACGAGTGCCAAGCACTCACCTTCCGACCATATAATATCTGGTCCTACAATGGTTTTTATGAAAGCTCTCAGCCATCCTGGCTTGGGGAAGTCATAGGCTGCGGTATTGAGAACATACTGAAGCGCCTTGGGGTCATAGATAACTAATTTATCATTCTAGGCGAGGAGACCAGTAAGTGAAAGCCTACATGATACTGCGACAATGGTACTTACACCCATCAAGCTCCTGAATCGGAACACTGGACCGAATTCTTGAGCCCATTTCGACATGACTTCGACATTGTTTTGCCGCATGGTCTGCCGCACATTGCCTTCACCCCCGTAAGCAATAAATTGAAGGTTCTGGAGAGATTCAGGTGATGATGCACACCGAAGAAGAATTCAGGCTTCGGGCCTCGTATGAGCGAAACCGATGAGCGCCGACGGAACCATCGGGGGATTACAGTATATAGAAATGTCAAGGCGAACAGACAATACAGTGATGCTACCATGGTAGGGCCAACGTCACAAGTGGTTGCTGAAAGCAGTGTTTTCTATGCCGACAGGTTGTCCCAGTATTTGAGGACAGGCCACCTGCTTCCGCAGAAGATAGTGCAGCTAGGTAGAGACTTGATGCGGCAAGGATCGCAAAGCCCCAGTTCGTATTGGAGCGCCACATCCAGGCTTTACATCCTATCTCATGATGCGGAGATCGACAGGTTCCCTGCGGGCTATTATTGTCATTGAACAACGTACGTATAGACAACGTGCCTGCTGACTAGGGCCCATCAGTCTGAGAAGCCTGATCTATTGAGGATGTGAGAAAGAGCCCAACTTGAAGGAGGGGGATATGTCGCCTGCTTATCCCCTCGGCTACATGGCATCGAGACAGAGCGGATGGTCGGAGGATGGTCGGATGTACAGATATCATGGTAGCTAGGGCAGAAAGCGCGGTAGGTGCGGCGATGAATGGCCCATTGATAGTAAAACCTATCTATAGCGTGAATCGATTCCCAGGCCCTGCTCGTATTGCAATCGGGAGATGGTGACAGCTAACTGCAAATAGCGCAAGTCAAGGTTTTTTACTTACAAATGCTGCTCCAAAATCATATAACACCGAACAACCAGGAATAGCAAGTGCGGGCACAAAGGGCAGCGAACTGCTGTTTTGAGAGCGTTAGCGCCCTTCAAGTTCTCGGAGCGGCAGGATGTGGGAGGACCGCCCTTGCGGCCTTTGCCAGGTGCTCCATACTAAGAGATTCGGCCTTCCGCTACCCTTTGGCAGTTAGCTGGAATGCACTGGTCGCCGCATAACCACCGCTGAGTTAACGTAAGAAAGCGATAAGACCTGTACTGGATACCAACCAGCGATTCTGGGATCCATTCCGGTCCACAGCGCTTGAGCCTCCTCTGTTAGCTCGTTCTCTTCACAAACGCCACTCACATGTACAGCTTGTGGCACTCTAGGGGCAGGAGGAGCATCAACTGACAAGAGTTCAAAAGTCTAAGGGCGATCGCCGCGCTAGAAAAGAACAGGAAGGTACCCGCGAACCCCCCATTTACCGAATCGCTGGAATGTGTGCATCGAACAGTTAACGTTACCAGTTTTGGCAGTCGACCAGGCGCGGGGTCTGAAAAGCCGGCCGTTTGAAATAGCGCGAAATGGCCACATCTTACATGTACCACTGGGAAACCCCGTATCGAGTCTTCTCCACGTTCACTGTTTGGCAACTGGGTGTCCTTCAAATCGCCACTAACCTTCGTCTTCACGGGTTTGCTTGTACAGCGAGAACAGGAAATTTTGTGCACATCCTTCTGGAGTCTACCGCACCTTCACAACGGACGGCCGACGACGGAAGTCGAAATTCGAAACCCCATCCATATTCGCTGCTACATATGTAGACTTGTGAATGGCGTCTCCGCTTAATTCGACCGAGTAGGCAAGCAATTGGATCTTCAAGCTTCATTCGCTGCATCCAGATTCCGTGCTTCCCTCACGTCCGCGTAGAGACCTTGCGCTATCCACGAAGATTCCCCTGGGAGCTTGCTCGAAGTTGAGCTATGACGAGTAATACGGTGTAGCGGCATTCGAGGCGATAGGGGATTTGCGGAGCTCCACGACGTCGACTCCCGCGTTCTTCACCATGTACGCATTCAGGACTTGGCTCTTTTCCAAGGCAGTACATCGAGGTCCGAATGCACGAAGGCGACTATATGGTTTATAAGAGCGCCCCCTGACCCAATACCATGAAGCGTCTCCCAATTTCTGTTCCATTCTCGCCTGTCCTGGTTCACCTACACCCAGAGATCGCACCGATAGCAAATCCGCAGTGTGGAATGACTAGACGCAGCTGTGGACTGCGTTCCAAGCGAACGTAAAAGACGTCGCTCGCCATTTTCGAGCCGGACGTTTTGGTAGCGGATCGGGACATAATTACGATCGCTGTTCTTCTGCGGCGAAGCCTACATATGAGTAACCACCTGTTACTGGGCTTGGACATATCTATCTTCTCTTCTTTCAAGTCCCCTCAAAGTGCGGCGTCATAGAAGCTTGTAATGTCGCGAGTACGTCTCCAAGTATTATCTTGAGTACTAACATGCCACCGCGCACCTCGATGACCAGTGGTTAACACTCAAGTTTCCAGGAACCAGACGTTGGCAAATCCGAGCACGGCGTTTGGACATGGTGTACGGTCCTTGGCTTTGGGGGCATATGTAAGGTCTCTCGTCCATCTTCAGACTCTGAGAGACCTCCCATGGTCTATGCACTCTCGAACTAGATATACCGCCGCCTTGACGACACTTCTACGAATCATAACAAGTCAAGAAATCCCCGAATCGGTTCAGCACAACCCCCTGCGTCGCCGCATCCACATCTGCCTTCGTACTCGCATTATACACGCTGACACTAACATAGCACCCATTGCCCACCACGTCCCCCTCCGCCGGGAGATGGTCCGTCCCGCACGTCTCCACATCCGTCGCGCTCGCATCCGCCAGGATCCTCGTCAAGACGAACTGGTAGTCCGCAGCGGCCGCGCACTCCGCGAGCGATGGGTAGTTCACGTTGAGCACGATGCCCGGGGGCAGGTACGGCGGCGGCGGCGCGAGCAGCGCGGAGAGGAAGCGCACGGTGGCGGAGGCGTAGAGGCGCGCGGCGATGCTGTCGGTGGAGTTGGGGGAGGTGGTGAGGGTGGTGTAGGAGACTTGGGCGAGGTCGGAGCCCGAGCCGGAGAAGGAGACGGAGGGGACGCCTTCGAGCGCGGCTTCGCACGCTGCGCCGCTGGAGGGTGGTCAAGCGGATGCGACGATCAACATATCTAGTGCACTTACACTGTCCCTGAGATTTGGACGGTATTGCCTAGATTGTCTGCGGGTAGATGGTGAGGGTTCAGCGATACTTGTGCGATATCTGCTGGGTTACTCACTTCCGACGTTAGGTCCGCTCACGACGAAGTCCGGCTTGCCCCCGAAGAACTTGGGGCCGAGGGTCTGAATTCCATACTTCGCTGAATCTGCCCTACATGCGAGAATGGTCCATCAACCCAAGATGCTGCCCGTGAGGAAGTGGGTTATACTTACGGGTAAGCGTTGACATAGTTCAGTGTGGCTGTACGCATTCTCATTCAGACGCTACCTCATGAAGGTTCAGAACTCACTTACGATCGCTGGCGTTAAACCCCTCGGGCGGCGAGCCTGTCGGGCAAGTATCGTACTCGCACGGCTCGGTGAGCGTCGTCGGCGTCGCCGTGGATGATCCCGTGCCGGACTTGTTCTCTGCAGGGCAAGACAGGACGACCTGTACACCGCGACACTCCGCATTCGATTACTACGCAAGTCGGGAGTCGTAGGTACGCACATTATATCCAGCCTCCTTGAGCGCGTCGTTCTGCGCACGGATCATCGCGACGGCCCAGCCATCGTCGTTCGTGAGCAGGATGTTCGTGGCGAGGGACCCGCTGAGCAGGTGGGCGGCCGCAAGGAAGAGCAAGAGCGGGTGTCGCCAAGGGGTGTGCATTCTCACTTACGTCGCAGGATCGGGCGTGCTGCAAGTCAGTATTCGAATGGGCAGCACGCTTCCGGTTTTATACTGCAGATACTGTACTAGCTCCGGTCCCGAGGGACACGTTCTGCGAAGAGCCGTATGGTCAGATGCGCACGTTCATCAGCATGCCGTCAGTATTTTATTCGGGAAGGCTAGGGTGCTGGGTACGGCGGTTTTGCCGTGCAGCTGAGCGGTGAGTGCCATGTGATGTGTCTGGGTTTGGTTTCTCCAGAGCACCCGGGAGGTGAAGAAGCCTCCGTATTATCGATCCGGGCTAGTTGGGCTTGGGACTGCATGAGGTCATACCTGGTAAGGGTTTACTGGATCCGTGGCAATGGAAGCTATGTGATACTCATTCTGCTTCAGTGTTGGATTTGATGAGAGAGTGAAAAAGAAGATGCATGTCACCATTCCAAAGGGACTGTGGGACGGACGATGTTATGCATCCTCGCGTGCCGCCTTGCCGTTTTTTGGGACCCCTTTCCCCCAGTATTTCGGGGCTAGTCCAGCCATTCCAGGGATCCGTAGGACGTTGACTCACGACCCAGCCCCACTCGCAGCTGTACTTATATCCCGTAAAGCTACCCTTCTCAGGCCTGGATCTATTCCTGATTCCTAGTCTTTTTTTTTTTTTTTTTTTTTTTTGGAATCTCTTGTTTATTGTCCGGAGGGAGGTGCCCTAAGCTGGACATTACATGTGTGTGGTAGATAGCTCGCAATAAACAGTCTGAATATCAGACAAACAAGATTCCTAGTCTACTTAGATTATCTTACGCTATTCTTGGACAGGTTTTGCCATCACGATCCGGTTACCCATTGAAAGATCGTGAATGGTATGTGGAGTGAATCATCTATAGCGAACGCTCGGGTACGATGGGCATCGCTGCAAGAACCTTGAAGCTTAAGATGGACTGTGATCGTACTTCACTCAATGAATGGAAGCGTGGGAATCGTCGGACACGCCGGTCCCCCGACCTTTCCTTTCGTTGAAATTTTAGACTCTTGAGGTGAATTGGAAGCCAAGGGTCGTTAGCAACAATTGCACCCGGGCACAGAAGAGCCTTCATTAATTTGAATGGCCTACACGACGCTGTACATAGGTCGAAGACAGCCCATTGCGAAAGACTCGTGGAGCCACGCGGGACCGCGGTCCTGAGAGAGACCTGATTAAGACCAATACAGGGTTTGTGGGTCCCCGGTCGGCTGGGATATGGTTCCCAACTTCCAAATTTGCCGAATAGCTGTTCCTCCTAATTAATCCTTCGCGTCGTCGCGCCCAGATTCCGATCCTAATTGCCTGCAATGGCTCCTGTAAGCGTTGCTGCCGACGACGACCATCGCCTGAGGCTCGCCCACCCCGTTCCCTCGCCGTACTACATGCCCGGGCCAGCGACAGCATCGAGCAGCACGCTCCCCAACCCGCCGTCGCAGCCAGCCTCGCCGTTCAGGCCACCAGCGCCCCCGCAGACGCTACGGAATGGGAGCACGTCCAGCTCGCGGTCGCTCAGACGAGATAAAGAACGGGACCGCGAACGCGAAGCATCGCGGGGGTCGCCCAGCTTGGGCGGCGAGCCCTCGACATCGAAGAAGGCCGCCGCTGCGACCAACGGCCACGCAAGCCCATCGACGCC